TGGTCTGTAATACTGTTCGTTTTTATTTAGCCTCATGCGTGCTACTGAGCGGAAGAAACTAGAATCCGTTCAACACTTTTTTACCAAGAGAATTTTAGCCCCGGAACACCGACATTTGTCTTACCAAGAACGTTGCCAGCTTACGGGCCTTGATCCTTTATGGTGCCGTAGAATACAAAAGGGACTATTTTTGCTATTTAAACTCTTATATAATCACACATTTAATCCACTCACCTCTTTAAGACATCATATCCACCCACGACGTAACAGTCACCGTGAGGTCTTTTTATTTCTGCCTCTGGCACGTACTGTTAACTAACGTCGGTTCTATTCTCTAAATGCAATTGCTATTTGGAATAAACTACCCATGAGTGTGAAAACTCTGCAAAATCATCCTTTATTTAAGAGAACTATTCCTCGGTTTTTGCATTCAGAAAAGCTGAATCCACTGATCGACTCTACCGTAGCGATGGCGTTTGTGGTCTCAGAACACTATGACCGGTCTCACCAGCTGTTCCTCAACGCCTCTACGTTATCTATCCCCAACTTCATGAAAGAAATTGACGTCCGATAATCTCCGATACCGTGCAACCACCTCCCCCCGTCTTGACGGTCGAAAATCTACCACCAGCAGTTTTTTTCTCCTGAACTCTCCAAACCATAAAAACCACCATTAACTATATTTTTATTCCTGCTGGTTGGATTTGTGTTTAATCGCTTCCCTTGACAATGCCTGTAAACTGGCATTTAATAATAAATTTAATTAAATTAAATAACCTTCCAATAAAGATAAGATCTTCAGACCATCTACATACCTTTAAGATAAGGTTACGCCTTTATATGATAATTGGCTCAGTTAAGCTTTTATTTTCCTCATCCTTCCCGGACAAATTTCTCTATGACACTGAGAAAGGGCCACCGGGAATTTAGGATGCCGCCATTAACTTTCCGTATCTGCTCACATTGTCTTCCTTTGTGAGACGTATCGCTTCCTAAGATCCCTCAACAGAAATGTAAATTTTTCCACTTTCTCAGTTCGTGCATCATGCCCTCACAGAATGCGCTCCATCGACGCTCTTGACGAAACCTTCTGTATTGGCCATATACTAGTAGTCTGGTCGCATCTCCCTGCCCCATCCTCGCATGGACTCGGATGACTGTACCCGATTGCATCTGGGTTCCTGTTGTCTCGAGACTGGCCGGTCTTGACTGACGCGTCTACTTACCCCTTCATGAAATCCGTTTTACAATGCCATAAACAGCGACGATTTTCACGGTTCGTGATGTCATCTACCGCTTTCCGACCTCATGCCGTCTGTCGACGCTCACGGCGGTACCCTCAGTATTCGCCATATACTAGTAGTTTGGTCGTACCTCCCTTTCCCACTCCTGGACTGGGTACGAAGCGTACTGTGGCCGATCGCGTCTGGGTTTCTCTCGTCTGACCACTTTGACGCGAATTGTCTCATCTGGCTTATAAATCCTGCCCTGACGATGTCGGTTCTAAATCGCGTATACAATACCACATGCACGCCAGTCCTGTCCGACCCGCATACGTACCCCTGAAGGCTGGCATTTATTTCTGTCCTGACGATACCCGATTACAATCGTTATATACCGCCGCATGTAGGTCAGTCCTGCCCGCATTTTCCTATTATTAATTTTTAACGAGGGGTTTTTTTCTGTAAAAAAATACAATCATTTTTAAGTTTTCATGTGGAGTATTTTTGTCACCCCTAGCTTATCGTTTTTCTTAACGGATTACTACTTCAACAACTATTAATTGCACTAAATATAGCTTTTGCCTACCTCGTCTAAAATTCGCATGTGATCCCGACGGGTCTTTAATAAAATCATTATCGTTATTATTATTATTATTATTATTATTATTATTATTATTATTATTATTATTATTATCATAATAATTCGCTCCGTGTTGCCGTATGGTTTGCCGAAATATCCAGTCACCGTTTTATTTGAAGTCTCCCTTCGGATTTTTGGCTTGATTCCCGTCTACACGGCGTACCAACATCTCTTTTACGCGACAGAACTGAGCGCTCCCGAAGGTCCTCTTCAGGCCTCCTGGCGGTCCCCGTCTGCCGGTCTGCCTGTGTGCAAGCGACTTTCGTTTTATAACCGTACAGAGGAACGAGGTATTGTCATAGGGTGATTCGTTCTTTTTTGGTGTCCCAAATTCCCTGGACGAACTATTTTCATTTTCAGCGTTTGATGTCGCCAAGAAGGCCGTGCTTGCGTGTATTTCTTTCGTTTTCTAAATTGCTGACTTCGTCGGTTTCTTCTCTCCATGTAAGTGGTGTGTAAACTTCCTTTACTTTTCTACCTTCCTTTTCAGACCTTTTAACTCATTCTGTATCTTCAAGGATTTCTGAAGTAGTCCGAAATATTTTATTCAGGTATCGTCGTCGCATTTGACATCCATGAAAGTCATTCGACTTTTTATTCGCCCGACAGGCACTGCACTGATAGCGGGACATGCACCACTGCAGTCATTGATATCATGTGTAAAACATAATCTATCATTCGTTTTGACTTGGCTGTCGAGCGTCGTTGCCCTAATGGTAGTGACGCTGGCCTTTTCGATCGACTGCCCAAGTTCAATTCTGGCATGTGGCGGCGTTTTGCATATCATTCCAAGGGAATTTTTCCAAATACCATTATTGAGTAGGTGAATTTCAACCGCTTTTTAAAAGATATGAGACGCATTTTAAATCAGGTCAAGATATGCGTAATTGACTTAGTCTTTCCTGGATTCCCGGAATCTCTCGGTGCTGTTGCAGAGAGGCGGCCGGAAGAAGACAGGTTTGCCACGCCATTGCTGATGCAGATTTGTGGGGATGGACGTGTTACAAAGAGGAAACGGACCTTTAGTACCCACGGGCCGTGAGGACATCTAGTTGATAGACATCCTGTTAGAGGTAAAATTCGCCGGAGGTCGAAAATTGCAAACCCAATTCGAAACTCGCGGATGTTAGGTGCACGCAGCTGAATCTCTACGTGTCTTAAAACATTTATAAAATAGAAACTTTCAACACTCCGGTGGCGGTTCGTTATCAAAACTCCATTGAACAAGCCGGGATAACATATCTCTTAACTGAATGCCCGAAAATTTTATTCCATTCAGTGTTCTCATAAGTGCAAATAAGATTCACGACAACCCACTTGAAATAGTGAGCATTCGGTCACATGCAGGCAGCAGGGAGGAATGATAATTTTCGGTTTTTTCAACAGAGTTTTTCCATCTATGTCATGCGGACGCAAGGCAATAAGCCAACAGTATAAAACAAGACTTACTGAAATTACAGCAATCTTGTACAAATACGCACCCAGCACAATACCTTGAACATTGTTTTAAAGAACTACTGATAATTTACACATGGTTATAGAGGCAGTAGTAAAGCATGAATTGCTTTAGGTCGGATTCACCGGAGGAGGATCTAAAAAGTATTGTTTTGATTTATTACTCTAGTTTAGCAAACAAATGCATCTGGAACGAAATATGTTTTGAAATTCACATGAAACTATGTAGTGGTGAGGTAGGTTTTTTTCTATTTCAAACCTTCATATCCGTAAGGGTTTAAAATTGCCGAAAATTGGAACGTTCTCATTTTGTTCCTTCGATGACCATGCATTGGGTTATTCAAACAGAGCAAAGGGAAAGCCTTGTTTTTATGTTTCCAGTTGGTTATGCCACCAGTGTGACTTGAAGCAAGTAGGGAGTCTTGTTCCAAGTAAGTCGAAATATTTCTGCAGAGACTTAGTACATGTGTTCAGAACAGTACCTGCATATTTCCTAACCGTATAGTTATATTGAAAACAGTAAAGCCTTTGGATGTGAAACCATTCTATTTAACTCAAATGTTGTTTCTTTTGTTGCAGGTTCCATTAAATATAAAACACTGAATATGCTTGCAGTAGCCGACAACCTAGAAATTGACCGGACAAAGGTGGAGAACCTCCTCAAAAGACTTTGCCTGTCTCTCCAGAGAGATATTATCTCAAAGAAGTCAGCTGTGTTGGATTTCGTTAAAATCGGACGCCTGCGCGTCATAGGCAATGTTGCATCATTCAAATTCTTCAAAGGTTTTGTTCAACAACTAAATGAGCAGACGAACCGTGAAGTAGGCGATGTAAGCCACAGGTTGTTAACTGCAAGAGTCATGAACTAACTCACATCTACGATTTTTGGTTTCGAAATAGACCGGAATAGCCCACGATGTTCGCCACATATTCCTCACAGTAAACAATCTGATGAGTTTTTAATATATCCTTGTGTCCTAAAAGCTGCGAATTGGAAGACCGCAAACGGACGGGGTATCTTGAGCCCTTTCCTATGATGGCGAGTCAAACTACGCTGGTTCCATCTTAATATGGCCTTTATGGTACTCCCACTTAATTGGGATCCAAACCGCCTTTTGTTGTTTTGGTGAAATTCGAATTTCACCGAAACAACGAAGGTCGGTTCGGATTCCGATCTGGACCAGATCGGACCAGATCTGATCGGCCGTGCGCGGCACACGCAGATTGGGCTGTTAAGCTTTGTCAGCCTATGAGCCTGATAGTTCCTCCAGTCTTCTTGACTTCAGTCTTCTTGCTACCGGGCTCAGCTGAAAGACAAGATATGGAGTGCGGCAGACGCAGTGTATGTTTCTATCCTTGCCTCTACCATGCTGTAGAAAAACCAGTGGATATCGTCGATGACGACGGTCAAACTACATATATATATTCTATTTTCATCCTGTTGTCCTTGAGAGCATGCAAATGGGGACATGATCAACGAATCTCTTCAAGAGTGTGAAGACGTCCATGTAAACACATACGCGACCGTCAATAAGACATAAACAGCTGACGATTTTCTATAATATTTTGCGTTCTAGTTTGTTATTCGAAATAAGTTAGTTATTATATTTTAAACCAACCTTCTGATTTTAAAAATATTTATGACATAGATGCTTGTTGTTAATTTACATTTTAAGTGCCAAATGTCTGTCGAGAGCTCTGTTTTGGACACCAATTCGACCGCAAATTTTCCAAGTCTTTGCAACGAATCACAGTAAGTTTAAAAGACTTTGCTTTGATGCTGCGTTGCCCAAAGTTTAGTACAGGACTAAAAATGCATGTAATAATAGTGTTCAATGGCTGACTCAAGTTGTAAAACAAAGCAAAGGAGTCCAGGCTGACCATTGAGCCGGAAATAAATTTCATGACCAAATACAATAATTCGATGAAATACATTATTAAAAAAAGATGTCAGAGCCCAAAATGCCATTTAATTCTTATATTTCATCGTCTGTCAGGCCTTCAGCAGCTTCATTTCGAAAAGATCATCTAGTATTGGAAGTTGGTTGATTACTGAACTAGATGCTCTGATAGCGGAGCTGTGACCTTCGCAATGCCGGTCGCTGTTATCTATTGATTTCCCGCCGTCATATGACTGCCTGTGAATGTAAAAAGGAGGGCGACTGCCTGATACCGTTCTCAATCGCATTCGACGGGATCTCGGCCATTCAGTCTAGTGAAAGCGTGATGAAATCACGTTTGAGATTCTGTTAGGTGATAACTGCAAACGAACTTATAACTGTTATGTTGCCCTTAAATATTGGAACTCCTGATAAACAAAGGCACTTAAATGCTGATAAATAATGACAAAATGGTTGATTAGGATTTTACTTAATTTCTAAACTGGGCATTTTAACAGAGACACATCCGAAAAAAAACATTTAGACAAAATAATCGTTGCAACTACGCCCTCCCTCAAAAAAGCACAACAATGTTGGTCTAGTGAAGGTTAGAAATTATACTAACTCATTGTAGTTTCTGCAAGATCACCTTAAACATATTCCCAAAAATTTACTTAAAATAAACTTTCATTTTATTCCGTTCTGTCCTACTGTAGGACTCTGGTATGCAGCCTTTCAATGGTTATGAAATCCCAATCCATGAACACTACGAAAATATTTTTTATGCCGAATACAATCAGGGACTTTTTTAAAAACCTTAAAAAACCAAAGTGACATTAACTTTAATCGCTGACAAAAGCTCATCAGATTTTGGCAAATGTTGTCTCGTTCGATTAATATCTTAAACTGGACACCATATCCTAAACTACTAAACGCAAACCAATCATTTTAATTATTTTTCAAATATTAAAAATATTGCTGAGCTCCTTCACAATGATCCTCTTCTGCTTCATTCGCGAGCAAGCTTCAGATTTTGCCAAGAAATCGACGGATGGCGCATGCATGACATGAAACACCGTCTATTCCCTTTCTTTCTTTATGCGACATACCTAGACGTCTTTAAACTATGATTCAGAGCAAGACAACGAAAGAAAAATGGGTCTCCTGAGAGAAATCCTTGTGCGAATCCCAGATGGGGCAGATTTGTCCGTTTTGCGCGCAAGAAAAGTGGGGCAGAAATTGTCATTGTCATCTCTGTCTCTATCGTCGCATAGTCGGACGCCTAATTTTTGATCGAAAGACCAGTGATTTTGGCCATGCACTAGTAGTTTGATGAACTTGACTCTGTATTATTTGGATCAACTGATCGATATGGATAGTCTTTTAATTGTGCACGTAGAGGTGCCGTTAAAACAGAATTATACAAATAATCAATGCCTTTTTCTGATAAACGTTTTTAAGTGGAATTGTACTGCATTGAAATAAGGACCATCTATTTGAACTTGAATTTATTTGACACCTTAATAAAACTCCTCATATCGGGAAGACTGCTGTGGGGAGTAGACTCAAAGTTGCCTTATTTTCAAATGAATTAATTGTACAATCCAAAAATATTTTGCACTTTTATGCGTTAAGTCAGATAGATAGAGCAATCCTACTAAAGCACTCTTAACGGGCAAAATAATTTAGACCTAGTGAGTTCCAGAACAAAGGATCCCTTTTGTTCATTGTTTTAAACTGGTGTACATCTAATTGTATAAAGAATATGTTAGTAGGGAGAAAATAACCTGCAGATATGACAAAGATCCCCCGAGGTCGGTCGTTCTGTTGATTTTTAGAGGCACGCGACTCCAGAAACATATGGACAACATTTTATTAGGTCGAGTTCGGCAAACGTACGATCCCAATCCTTGTTTATCGGGTCTGTACGGTAATATAAGAGAAGGTAGAGTAGCAAATGTTAAACAGCAAGACTTATGAAGGCAAAAGCAGTGACCGTACACTTAGCTACCTTAATCTATTGCTCACACGAAACGTTTGTACGGACCCTAAGGCTCCTCTGGCCACAGATGAAACCAGCATACATGTTCACACCTCGTGCTACTTTGTGTTTCAGGGACGCCAGACGTCTTCTCCCTCGCCCTCCCTAAGTCTCTGACAGAACTAGACTATAACCCCTGACCGGTGAACGCTCTCAGCCTTCTCCTCCATACTTACTGATTGTGTCAACGTTTGCTACAATACCCTCCTTTATATCATTCTACAGCTCTGATGATCGAAAATCGAGGCCGAACGTTTGCCGAACTTGGCATTTTAAATGTTTACATGGGTATCGTCGCTGAACAAATATTTTATGTTGAGCGCGTTTGAAGGTTTAAAATAGCAGATTGTAACCAACTATAAACAAAGCTTTGCAGTGGGAAGAAAACCAGGAGCAAGTTACTGAAATATGGTTTCGATCGTTTACTTTTAGATTGAATACGTTTTCGATTGATTATGGTAAGTTTCGATTTACTTTGTACACTCAAGACTTCAACAATTTTTAGAACAACGTTTTGCATACTATAGAGCATGAATGTTTAGCGTTGCACAAGGAAATGTTTCTTATTATTTGCCTTAACGATGTGTTTCAATTTAAGAGTGCCCATCAACATCGCTGGAGGCTTCCTTTGCATCGTTGAATAGAAAAACACATTCTCCGGGGGCAGAAGTACAATCAGACTCCCAGACCGAGGGCGGCCGCCGTCAGGTTTCCGTGTTTATTACTTTTACCTGGACACCTGACAGTCTGCATTGTCTAATTACTGCCACTAAGTCTTATTGCAACAAAGTGCGAAAGTTTGGTAGCTGTGCAGATAGACAACGGTGATTATGAGCGGAATAAAGTTACCAGCCACCAAAATGTGCATAGGGTGAGCTATCATATGCGTTTTATTCCGCACCAGTGTGCCCACGTCTTAACTTGTGAGTCAATACATTTAACAGGCTCTTCGAAACAATTTAAGAAGCCTGCGTCTGAACATTAAAAAGAGGAAATTGGCAAACCAGAAAGCAACCTTTTGGGAATCTAGTAAATAGCAGAAGAGGAATGATGATTTTAAAGGTCTCTAGGAAGCAACCTTCAAAAGATAAATATGGCACTGTAAAGTTGTAACGACATCTAACAAATAATATTTCCACTTTCTATCAAGGCCTTTACATGAAAAAGATCAATTATCCGTGTTTTTTCCGTGTTTATTAAAAAAGTTTAAAAGCTTCTGATGTGTATTTTTGATTCCCATCAAATTCGGTCATATTGGTAAAATTTTCTAATTGACAGATACCGAACACATGTAATTCCTGACTTAGAAAACTATATTTTTGCATATAAAAAGGACCACGAGGTTGTAAAACCACCAGAGACTACAAACCCGGGGTTGGGTATGAGCGGTTGACGGCGACTAATAGGCCAGAAATGGGCATTCTGCCTATATTACCAACGACTGTGTGGATGCTTGCGGGCCTCTAGATCGAGCCCCAGGACACAAAGAGACGAGTATCCTCCCGCAATACGATCTCTGAGCGCCCTCTATAATTGTTAACATAACGTATTTCATGGCCGTATTGTCAAAGTGAACTAACTGAAAAATGCAAGTTGCCTGTCTCCTCAACCTTGCTCTGTCGACATTTTAACTTCAGATCCAAATAAGAAACGCCCTGAATACTAAAAATGAACCGGAGTACGCAAATGCGAAAGGAAGCGAGCGTTCCCTGCTTCGGGATGAGGAAGAAGCATGGGAATCAAGAAAGCGAAGTTGCGGAGAAGATAAGGGCGAGTCAGGCAGTCAATCAACAACCGGTCGAACCAGCCTGACCAATAGGACCGAAATGACAGATAGTCATTTGGAGACATTATCATGCGGCCACTCCAGAGCAGCCGGTCAGGAACTGTGCTATTTATGCCATCAAAAGGCTTCGGCGGTTAACCAGAAAAATGCGGTTTTGGATACAAAGCCAAGTGCACAGGCTACTCTTTCACAAGTAATACATTTCACAAAATGCCTACTTCCTTCGTTTAAGTACACATTTACGTCTGTCTCTATGGTTAACAACCATGCAGGGCCTAAGATTACGAACACCAGGTTTCGAGAATGGTCTTAAGGAATAAAGGCATGGTGGCTTTTAGTTTGATTTTATAGATCATGTAGAGGATGAGTATATGTGCCGAAAAAACCACCTCATTTCAACAATTTCTGCACGAAAAAGACGATGCCAGTGTCCGAGAGGCTTGATTGATTGACCGTCCATTTGGGAAAATGAGCAGAGATCTTTGGTTCACGAACGAGGAGGCGCTGGTATTCGTAAGCGCGCATTTGAATATGGAACCATCTATCATTCAAGAACAGTCTGAGGAGCATAAACTGACTGGGTCGCACCTGTAGGCAATTTGGATATCTATTTTTGTCCTGTGGTACTTATCCGAGTCCTTTCCAAGTGCCCAAGGCGGTCAGCTCGCCTGCAGCATCCACCCCCTGCGGACTGAAATTTTTGTCTTCTTATGGTCTTTTGAAAGATTTCCACATGTTCGGGTTTCTTCTGATCGGTAGTGCAGTTTTCATGTTTGTGGATAGAGAGGTTGGAGGCGGCGTGTGTCGATTTGACAATAGGCTGCTCGTTCAAGTTCGCCCTATTCCCCTTTGTCGGCCTTCTTGGCTTTTGCGGTTTCCCTACTGAGCCATTCTTTCATATTTCTTTTTCCGACTGAATGTCAGTCCTTCGTTGATTAGGAATTTATCAGTAGTAGTAGTTCGATCGACCTGCGGAACAGTGAATCATCTCGGCTCAATATGCGTGTTTTATTACTTTGTACGAATTGTTGCGGAGGGTACATTCGTTTATAGCCACAAGAACCTAGTAACAGGTAATACCAATGATGCAAATAAGGTTCGTTTTAAGCTTGAAGGATGGACTGTTCCCATTCAAAACGACTGTAGAGCATGAACGTTGCATGGTCACATTATGGATCTCCATTTATTAATGTTCTACCCTGCTCGACGGTAAGGAGACCTAGTCGAATAGCGTAGTTAATGCATCCTCGTTTGTTGGCAAGGTTCGTGACGCAATCATTTCTCCCCATTTAGCTCTCTCTCTTTGTTTAAGACGAAATCGTTAATACCGACAGGGAAGTCGTAGATAAACTAAGTTGTCTGTCATCGTCTCCTTGTTGCATGCTGGAGCATTCTATCATAAATTTGATAACAACACTGAAATGGTTGGTTATCCATGTGCAACAAAGGGCCTTTCGTACTCGAAACAATGGTCAACTAAAAGCCGTTTACTTTGAGGACAAGTACGTCCTGGATTGTTAAAAACAAGTGTAAAGGACGCCTTGACGTGTTTACACAAAAGGTAAGTGCCCCAAACGACAAATAAGGATGTTTCGTTGATTGCGACTTTTAAACTGGGGGTGGTTTGTGCAGACGGAGTTGACCGACCTCATGAAGTGCTAGCTTAAATTCCGAAATGCTTTTTGGACTAGTAGGGACTACTTGGGTGAGGTTGTGCTACTGATTGTCATGCGGCATAATCGTATCATATTTGGGTTTTGTTAGGATGTTTGCTTTTGAATGTACTTCTTTGTGACCTGTAGGAGCTGCACTCCGCAAAAAGTAACTACTTAAGTAGCATGTGTTTTTCACATTGATTTTCCATGTCCTTAGATATCCAAGCATATTTCGCAGACGACATGTACAAAAATATTCTCTCATGCATTCATGTGGCAGCAAACCGAGCCCCAGGTGTTCCACACTCCGGTGTCGGGTATGACTGTCTGACGACGTCTAGTGAACCAAAAATGGCCGCTCCAGTCTTCCTTGTCTTTGTCGGTAATGTTATTCTGCCTCTATCATGCGCCGCTGTGCGGCTGCTGGTTGGGCCCGAGAGACAGAGAGCCCCAAGGCACAACGCGACGAATGAGTNTCACTTTAAGAGCGAAAATGTTTGCATTTTGAAATTTTTTCAATTCCTGAATAATTTTGAGTCAAACTAGCCGTTGCATTGCAAGAGACACACTTCCCGCGTGAGGAAAATCATATATTCCTCTGTGCCTTTAAGAAGATGCAACGTACAGCTTAAAGAGTTTTGCAATGGATGTGGACTACGTTGCATGCTTCATGATGGCCATTAATAAACGCGCAGGTACGATGCTGCACGTATCAGTATTGCACGCTCTTGAAAAATCTTATAACTAACAAGCTTTCTTAAAACCGAAAGGTGCTCCTTCGAGCATAGAATTTTATGAAAACGTGGTTTGCTACCAAATGAGCCCAAGAAGGGATGTTTACTGCACTTTTTATACAAAATATATTCAAATTTATGAGGCATGGAAAATTAACATGAAAATTCATACTGTTGAAGCAGAAATGTTTACAGAGTACGGTTTTTACGGAGGTCGAAAATAAATGCATTCTAAGCAAACATTCTGGTGAGTCCGAAATATCTTAGGATTATGCCGCATGATAATCAACAGAAAAACTCTGCTAGCCAACCCTTCTTAATAGAAAACGCATTTCAGAATTTTGGCTAGCACTTTATAAGGTCGGTCGCTGAATATGTCTTGTTGTTAGGAAACAGACTAGCATGGTGATTTGGAACATGCTTTGAAAAATATAACCGAGACCAAAACGTTATATGCGATTTTACAGAAGAAAGGCTATATATTTAGGAGCTGAAATATCAATAAGCGCAAAGTGAACTCGAGATAGTTCGTATGACCATTGGTTAGCTCTAATTTATTTTCTTTCCAGAGATTTTTGGTTATGCTTTTCGGAAACATTAACAGCTCAAGCAGTACATGTTTTTCTTGTATTTTCAGTTCTTGAGATCTCATTATTTTTTCTTTATGATTTCCCTTTTCTTATCCTTATTATTCTAGTTTTTTTCATTCTTGAGATCTGCATTTGAAAGATGGATATAGCTTGCGCTTTGAGAGCGCAAAATCGTCAATATTTTATGAAATGCGGCTCATGGTTTACCATGCTCTCAAGAATTTAAAAATCTTAAATGTTCACATTTCAAAGTAGCATCTTCATGCGTGCGTAAATGTTATTCTCTGTACAGGTCCTCTTCGCAGGACTAGTTTGTAACAAACCCTGAAAGAAACCTCACTTGCCGCTAACTGACATCGCGGGTCCGCAGATGCAGTTACAGGGATGGAAGTTCAATTTTTATTGTCCGCCACAGGCTCGCGTTAGTATCTCTTAGGAATGTATGCTCCCAAAACGGACCACTCGGTAGATGCGCTGGACCAACATGTGGGCTAGTCCGGGTGACCTTATTGGGAATGTACATCCATAACAAATGCCACCATCCGGGTTGCGGTGGCAGGCCCACTTGCCCGCTCACGCCGCGCCAGTTGAGATCCGAGCCAATCTCCATATTTACTGTGTTTAAAATTCTGGTTAGGCGTTTGTTGTGGACCAGGGGATGTGGTGGTACACCTACAGTAGGTGGGCTAACTCATTAAATGTCAGCCGAAATTTCGAAATTCGTTCACGTTTCGAAAAGATTAATTAAATAGAGTTGTAAAACTAATCATTTTGCAGCACAATTCTATAATATTTCAGTTACCTCAGGATGCCGGCTTTCGAAAGCACTTCCTTCCGGCTGCATGCATAAACTCTAATCTGCGAAAAAACTACTTAATTAGCCTGACTTTTTCGCATTGATTTTCAACGCCCTTAAAAATTCAATTATATTTCAAAGAAAACATGTACAAAAATATTTGTTCCTTTGCTCATTCGGTAGACAACAACGTCTTGTTCCAATCTTATAATCGAAGAAAGTGTACAATTCGGTTTTCAAAGACCTTTCCAATTCCCGAATAATTTTAAACACGCTCTGCTGGTACATTTGGATTCAGGGTTTCCAAACTACAAGCCATGCATTTTCTGCGTATGGAAAACCATACATTTCTCTACGGTATTAAGAGAAGACCATGTGGAGTTCATAAAATTTAGCAGTAGATTCAAGTCATGTTGTTAACTATACAAGCCACATTAGTAAATGCAGAGACACCACGTATTATGAATGGTCATTTTACGGTTTTAACAAATCGCAAAATTGGAAACTTTTAAAACCGAATTATATCCCTTCTTCTAGTATAAAGTTGGAAGAAGACGTCATTTTCTATCGAATGAGCCAAAGAATGAACATTTTTAAGCACGTCTTTCATGAAATATACTTGAATTTTTAAGGACATCGAAAATCAATGACATAATGACATGCTCCTTAGGTAATTATTTTTGCAGATTATAGTTCTTGTATGCAGTCAGGAAGAAGTTCATTTGAAAACCGGCACCTTGAGGTAACTGGATTATTATAGAATTATGCTGCAAGATAATTAGTTTTACAACCCCACATAAATCATCTTCTCGAAACGGGAACGCATTTCGAAATTTCGGCTGACATTTCATGAGTTAGCTCGCCTACTGTAGGTGCGGGTTTGCTCCGTGCCAGCCATCTGAGACCTTTCCCGCCTCCGGTCTTTTTGACCTGGCCATGACACCAGGATCAGGTGGGGGAGGAGAAGAGAGTGTGGTAATAAGCGCGGTATATAAGAGTCCACTATCACTGTAAGCTAATTCACGCGCCGGTCACTGTTTCTGCTGTCACCCTGTTATGGAGCACACGGTGGACATAGTCGAAAAACAACGGTCGAACTGTCGTGTCACGTCGGAGATTTTTCAAAGGCATTTTTACTCCTCGTATCGTGCGCAGGATTATTCTTCAGAACAAAGCAGACTGCTTCTGACATGCTTACCAACGGGGAAATTCCAACTTTAAACTGCTGTTTTGAATAATTCTTAGACTTCACCCTTACATTCGCTCCATTTCATGTTTGCCTACACAGGGTTCCGGATGCCACCTTGAGACGCAAACAGGCCCTAGCAACCAAACCTCTACTCGTTCGCTTTTTCGACGAAAACAGCATATTCTTTATCCGATGGCATGCTACATCGACAGAAATCGACCAGAAACGCCAACGAAAGCATCACGTCAAGCTGACTTCAAGTAAGTTCCCCTTCATGGACGAGTGTCTTTAGAGTTTGTTTATGCAGGGAGAAAGGCTTATAAGAGAGGTCGGTCGGTTAATACAGCAAAGCATATTTCACAGTTAGAGTTTTCGAGACCTCGGGTCTAAGAGCAGTTTCCTCGAAAAGTTTATTTTGGTCCTTAATAATTTCCTCAGACATGGATAACGTATGGAATTGATTTTTTTAGACTTTTAAAAATACATTGAGGCTGTGCTTTTTGGTTTGAACTCTGAGAAACTGTCAGTAGTGTGTGGACAGGATCTACACTAAACATGAATTCAAAGAAACACTGACCGAAATACTTTGGGGACCTCGCAACTCGAGTATACTGTTAAGGTGACTTTGAAAAATCGACTAGCCACAGGCCTGGTTTGGGCTGGTTTCTTCACGGCACCGTGCCGGCTTTCGACTGAATAGTTTTCGAAATACCCATTGCAATGAGAATCCGTCAAACAAAAATGTGTATGTTCATGCTTTATCGCCCCTGATGTAAATCTGAAGAGATAAATACTATTCAACTTAAATAAGACATGATAAATTCGATTGTTGCGTTTGTTTTATAAGAAGCTATCATTTTTTGGCGTTTAAAAAACACTTACTTGTCTTGAAGTACTGGCGCATTTACTGCGGTAAGCAGTAACTCCCAAAGGATTATTGATATATAACTATACAGCTAAACATATATTACGCACAGATTTTGGCCAAAAAATTTGCCCCTCTAGGTGCTTTGGACGTTATGTCGTAGCTACTCTGTATCGTCGAATTTCCCCTTCAAAAATCTACGAAAATTGTGAATAACCAGCGTTAAGGAGGAAATTAGTACATTTTCTTAAGCCGTCTGTGCGGCTTCTTCTCGAGTATAAAACGTTGACGAGCATAAATTCGTTTCTTGTGAACCGATGGAGGTAAGTAGTTCATCCTAGCTTATTGTATTACAAAAGTGCGAATAGATAAAGAAATCGTCCTGGAAGTTGAAATTGAACTGACGGGTTATAACTGACGTGCAATTCTTTTTTGTTAAGAGAAAATTCGCTCTCATGGAGGAGTCATAATCATCTTTATTTTCATTTGATTTTATGGGTTGAGAGGCTGAAGATATTTTTTAATCAGTTAGTCCATATTTCCTATGTCCAAGGGGAACAATTATCAAAGTAGGTAGCGAGCACAAAGTTTTCGGATCACTACTTTCAAGTAAAAGGCTTTCGGAGGGAATTTATCGATTACAACGGCTTTTAGATAAACCGCGCTGAAAGTTTACCTGATGAAACCATAAACCTAATCGTCTTGTAGGAGGGAATAAACCATCATCCAGAACACAGATCGCTGGAATGGCGACTTAAAATACGCCGGAGGCATCAAAGGACAGCTGTCTCTTCAGTCATATAAACCTGGACTAGTAAAGACAGATTGAGCCACAGATCGCAGTTCACAGCATCCAATAGTGTACTAGTCTAGTCACACTGGAAAGAACTAATGCAGACATGGAACAATCTTTTCAAATCCAGTGGTGCCAACACTTTTCTGTACTTTGTTGAATCATAGGCTTCCATAGCCCCCCAAGGACATCATTATAGGCATATGCGCACTTGTAATGGCTGTCACACTGTTCCATTCCGTCGGCTTCGATGAAGTCCCAGATTGCACCACTCCACGCGTATCTTTCTGCGGCAGCGGACCTGGGCAGCTTGGGTCACCGTCCACTCTGACGGTGGAGACCGAAAAAGCACGAACGACCTCCGTGCCTTGAAGAACTGCGCTGAGTCAAGATTTGAGCCTATTTCCTATTTACAGCCTCTAGGATCAAGAGCAATAACACTGAACTCACTAGCTGGTCAATGAAAAACGTTTTCGAATCACCTCCATTGGATTTTTGGTAGCCTGAGAAACGTCCGCCATCTCGCCACAGTAAGTGTAGACAGTCTTGCCCATGACAAGGTCGGCGTACTTCACTTGAATAATGGCGCCCAGGAAATGATAGTAAAGTGCTTTCAGTTTTCTCACTTTTTCCAAACAAAAATCTCAGCATTATTGGACGCGTAGGAGGTGTGACCGGCTGCATGTCCGACACGCGGATCATCGTGGCAAAGATATCGCAGAGTGCGCTCACGGAGGTCGTACGTGTGGCTGACATTTTCATCCCTTTTATGCCATTTCTGTGGCAAATTCGCTCCAGGATGTTTAAAACTGTCTATCACTTCAAAATGACAGACATTTAGCCACTGAGGGGCCTTCTTATGGTTAGAATGCAACTGGAAAGCATTTTGATTTTCTTAAAGTTAGTGGATAGACCAACTGATCTCACGACCTCGTTCATTCACGACACTACATTCAACAGATCGTTATGTTTTCACACTAGCAGGGTGATATAGTCAGCACAACCAACGCTAGTTAACCAGCGTTCAGAACCAAAGTAAACACCATCATGACCATATGTAACCTTTGCGCGAATTTAGTTCATGACGCAGTTGAAGGTTATGGACAACCGAACACAGCCCCACTGCAAGTTAGGCCAAATATCGAAAAGTTAGGAAGGATCGTTATGAACCAGAATCTGATCGATCGGAGAGCAGTAGTAGCCTTTTTCATACCCCATATCTCCTTATCCGCAAAAGGGCCAGTCAATGAGCAAAATCGAATGTTCGTTGCGATGAAGAATATCGGATCAACTGAAACTACACAGAATAATTCTGTACCACCTAACGACAGAAGTCGGAGATCTGTGAAGGCTGATCTATTCCGTACGGTGGAAAGGTTGCCATGAGTTGGGAGTGTTCTTGTGGGTCCGAAAAAGAGGTCCGTTCGGGGGCGCGTGGATTGTGGTGCGTTTTTAATGGCTGAGTAGAAGCCAGTCCATTAGCAAGTCAAATGATCTTCCCCTTCCATACTCCGTGCTGAGACTTCGCCTAGGCGGATTAATTAGTCACGCGGAAAGCGCACAGGTGAACACTGTTCCCAACGTCAGGGTCGGTGGCTCAGATGGTCAAGCAATCATCACACCAACATCCAACGCACGTGATGCAATTGCAGTAATTAACGACGCGAATGTCGGCCATCAAACAATTAGCACACCAAGTGCAACGATCCCGGATGAAGGGGGGAGCCGTGAATGTTCATAGGTATGCAGTAGCACGACGACTGCATCCTATAAATACTGCAGCCGCTTGTGCATGAACCACCCGTATCTGCTTTTGTCTCTGATGATGGGTTCGAGCAGGAATCCGAAACGTCAGGCTAATAAAGCTCTTATCCCAGCGATCGTGTCTCCCTCTTCAAGACTGGCTGTGTATTGGACATTCATTTGGTTAGCCTATGGTTGAATTGGGGTGTTACACGATCACGAGGTTGGAAGGGTCAAGATCAGATCGACGGCGGTAACCGATGGTTCCTACTCGTGGACGCAGCGTGACTGCCCAATCGCACAAGGAGCGCCTCCTAGCGGAGAAGCGGGGAGTGACTGTGCGTTTGCTGTCCATTTCTCGAAATCAGGGGTTGGACAGGCGAGGGAACTACCTCAGAATAGAGTGGTAAGAACAGTCATAAACGAGCACGACGGTAAGGGTGTTGGGATGCGGATTCACTCCAGACTGACAGCGAGCATCAGGGTTCCTGAGTCGATGAGTCAGCAATCCTTCAAATCAACCAGGAGGTTGAAATGCGTTAGGAACTCGGCCACAGGAGAAGGCTGAATCCGCGGTATTTATAAAACACCATCAAGAAGTTGGCCAAAGGCCCAAGTCGAGTTCGATGAAGCGTCTGTCGAGGGTGGAATTGCTAAAATTGTTGGCAGTTGGGGGATACAGAGAGTCGCGGTGTTTGCGGTCGGAAGCGTTGCTGAGACCACACTAACCTCCGCCCCAGAGTCAGAGGTACGGTCTCAGAGGAACAATCGACGAGGGTGATGATTGGCAATGATCCCAGCGGTAGTCGCCTCCACTTTGTCAGTCAGTCAGTGGGTATCAGTCAGTATATTTGGAGTAAATGACAGAAGCCCTTAAAACTCCACTTAAACGGCACAGGTGGGGATGACAATAGTTAAATTGCAAGAATTTTACATGTAGTTTTAGTGTGCAAGATTCATAAAAGTAATGGTGGAACACGTACGCGAAAAACGATATGGTATTTGCGAAATAACGGCGAAAAAATCGTCCACTGCATTCGCGCCGTGAAAATTTTTATCCGGGTCAATGCTAACGTACACAAGAGGATCCATTGAACTCATGTTAGTAGTATGTTTATAGTCATTTCAGTAATTCGACAGATCGGGCTTGGGGAGTTAGGGTTGCCTTTTAGCAGGTGATTATCCAGATGCGCCTTGAACACGCTGACGATATTGGAAGTTGGAACATACGTCGACAAAGAATCCTATTGGCGAATGAATCTCTGGCGGAGAAAAGAAGGAACGTTGATTTGTGTGGCACAGTCCCTTTTTAAGCTCGTTATCGTGTCGTTTGAGATTAGCATTTGGTGCCATTTCAAAAAGAGTTTCCCAGTCAACATTCAGATCAAGTCATCTTAGCAACCGGAAGGTTGCCATGAGGTCACCTCTGTCCTGCATGTAGTAGAGAGGATAGAGATTCAAGGCTGTCAGGCGCCACTAGTACGTCTGACAACCTTGAATCTCTACCCCCTCCAGTGCAGGCAGTATAGAGGTGACCTCATAGCAACGTTTCAGTTGCCAAGAGGATTTGATATGGATGTCGACTGGGTAGGCTCGTTCCTCAAGGCCGTTGGAGATAACAAAAAAAGTATGTCTGCAGACATCGTCGTACTGCTACTCCGGATTGTTGGTGATACTAGTACATGCTGCTTGGAGACTTTTGCAGGTGGGGTCGAGAACCCGAGGGAACCCGTCGACTGTCTCATGACCATCACGGGCCCCCAGTGACAACAACACTGATTTGTGGTAGGGGGCGCTCACCGATCGTTCATACGGAACTCACTCGTTCCGTTGTGCCTTAAGAGCTCTCTCTCGAGCCCAAGCGGCAGCCGCACAGCGGCGCATGATACATAGGCAGAATAACATTACCGACAAAGACAAGGGAGACTGGAATGGCCATTTCTGGCTTATTAGCCGTCGTCAGCCAGCCACACCCAAGCCCGAAGTGTGGAACACCCGAGCCTCGAACTCGCGACCTGTTGGTTTAGAAGTCAACGCCTCTACTCACCGGGCCACGAGCCCGTTGCCTTGTCGGTTTTCGATCGGGAATATACAGTGGTAGGGGGCGCTCACCGATCGTTCATACGGAACTCACTCGTTCCGTTGTGCCTTAAGAGCTCTCTCTCTCGAGCCCTCTTAAGGCACAACGGAACGAGTGAGTTCCGTATGAACGATCGGTGAGCGCCCCCTACCACTGTATATTCCCGATCGAAAACCGACAAGGCAACGGGCTCGTGGCCCGGTGAGTAGAGGCGTTGACTTCTAAACCAACAGGTCGCGAGTTCGAGGCTCGGGTGTTCCACACTTCGGGCTTGGGTGTGGCTGGCTGACGACGGCTAATAAGCCAGAAATGGCCATTCCAGTCTCCCTTGTCTTTGTCGGTAATGTTATTCCAACACTGATTTGGACTACCAGGTGCATAACTAACAGCTTGAGCTAGTTTATGCGCAGATCAGATCCTTGAAAACTTTGGTTGACTGTATGACTGACGGAAAAAGTCTCAGCGACTCTCAATTACATGACATAGACGGTGCCGCGGATGGTTAAACCATTGTCTTCTGAAGAGGGATGTGGCATGCAGCGAAGGACAATACCTTTAATACGGCTTGTCTCGTCAAATCCGTGCTGACCGGGGGCTTGTATGCAACAAATTTCGGTAATACATTATTGTCGAGATACCTGTGCAGAAACCGGACCTGCAAATACGTGGACGCCTCTCGAAGGGCGAAGGTTTCCCATCGCCAGGCCGATCGGAACGCATCGCGCCCAAATACATTGCTAATAGAGGCGAGGAGACGCGACCCAGTAAGCAGTCGTGAAGAAAGAGACAAGATCGCTGGGACAAAAGCTTTATTCGTCTTATGTTTAGGATTTCTGCTCGAACCCATCAATAGAGACAAAAGCAGATACGGATGCTCTGTCCATGATGACGGGTTCGAGCAGGAATCCGAAACGTCAGACGAATAAAGTTCTTGTCCCAGCAATCGTGTCTCCTTCTTCGCAACACCTTTAATCTACTGTAAAATTGAATTTTTTCAACCTTCCCTGCCAAACAGCGTATACAGAATTCGCTTGTGTTATTTTAGTAAGTTCATTAGCAGCACTCTGGAAAGTGCGGAATTAAGGAATCCTGCTATTTTTTCTGAGTTAGTCATGCAAGTCTAATGACTGAGCAAAAAAACTGCCTTGCAGCTCAGACAGGCGGCCAGCTGACCGGTTTTAATTTGATAATGACCTTCAGTTTAACATGTATCACTTGTTTCCTACACTCGTGCCTGTGATAAGAGCTCAACTTGACCAACAAATGGAAATTCATTTGGCCGCACGTCGTGCAATGCAAGAATATTTGTGCCAACTCGAAAGCCTTGAGGCTGAAGCTGTGAATCAGGACCTGAGCCAAATTCCGTTGAATAAAAATCGGGAAAAGTTGGAGAAACAGGCTGACTACAAAACAGCATTAGACTATCAGATAGTACGTGCCCCCGCTTTTTCTCTCTTCTGCTCACTTTTATTAGTACTTTATTCGCAGGTTTCTTATAAATCTTTGTGATTCATTAAGCAAAGTATGTTCCGGGACAGTGGCTCCATTTAAAACCAGTCGTCCAGTGGATATGTCAACAAAACTACGGTTTAATTGAAACAATAAGGACTGAATAGCTGTGGACATCTAAGAAGTTAGTTTTTGTGATACGAAGGTAAAAATTACATACGTCCATTGTGAAATTAAGCAGTCTACTAGTATACAAGTAGGCTCACTTCACAGCTGAAAAGTCATCGACACCTCAAGTCTTAGTGAGCGCCAAACGCCTAACAGAAAACCAAATGAAGAAATCTAAGTATCGACATCTGATAAGGAGAGTTTTAATGCAGTGATTTTCGGTTTGGCCGAAAGACATCGTTTGTTTTTATACCTTTGTTGTGTATGTGAGGGTTGTAATGCAGAACGACCCAACGTAGGCCGCAACTACCAGTTCATCCACTGCAGACCGCTGAATAGTTCAGTTGTCCTATGCTGTTTCATGGCTTCCAACAGATTTATTGAGATTTCCCCTATGACTTCTTACCGGTGCAGGGATCACGCACTGCAGATTCAGCCAATGAGAAATGCCTGTTATTCCCTGAAACTAATTTTATTACAGGGGATTTATCCATGAATATTTGGTCAATATATGTAATGTACGAGTGTCCTTTGGACACTGTTTCATTGATATATCAAATATCATTGAGTTTTCGAAGAGGTTTACTGCGACCGAAGTTTGGCTCGGCACTGAACAACTGGGAAGTACAGGAGATGGGCTAACTCCTGAAATGTCAACCGACATTCCGAAATGCCTTTTCGTTTCGAAAAGATTGATTAAGTAGGGATGTAAAACTAATCATCATGTAACATAATTCTATAATAATTCGGTCACCGTAGGATGCCGGCTTCGAAAGACCTTCTTCCCGGCTGCATTCAAAAACTATATTCTGTAAAAAATGACTACTTAAGTAGCATGCATTTTTCTCATTGATTTTCAGTGCCTCTAAAAACTCAATCATATTTCATGGAAAACATGCATAAAAATATGCATTCTCTTACTCATTCGGTAAAAAATACGTCCTTTTCCAAGTTTAGACACGAATGAAGGGTATTATTCGGTTTTCAAAAAATGTTCCAATTCCCGAATAACTTTGAACTCGACCTGCCGTTACACTTGCATTCAGGGTTTTCAAACTACAAGCCGTCTATTTTCCGCGTACGGAAAAACATACATTTCTCTACGATATTAAGGGGAAACTTTATGGGGTTCATAAAATTTAGCAGTAGATTTGAGCCATATTGTTAACTGTACAAGCTACATTGAGAGATGCAGAGACATGACGTATTATGAACGGCCATTTCACGGTATTAAAGAAGTTTACAATTATAAACATTTAGAAAACCGAATTACACCATTCCTTAGAGTATCAAATTGGAAGAAGACGTAAAGTTCTGCCGAATGAGTGAGAGAGTGTATATTTTTATGCACGTTTTCCATGAAATATGATTGAGTTTTAAGGGCATCTAACGCATGTTTCTTAAGTACTCATTTTTTTACCGAGTATAGTTGTTGCATACAGCCGAAAAAAAGTTTGTTCGGAAACCGGCATCCTGAGGTAACTGCATTATTCTAGAATTATGCTGCATAAGGATTAGTTTCACAACCCTACTTAATTAATCTTTTCGAAAGAAAAAGGCATTTCGGAATTTTGGCTTAAATTTCATGAGCTAGCCCACCTACTGTACATCAAAATCAGGCGGTCCACAGTAAGTATTTGATCGCCAAACCGATAATGGCAGGTTTAACATTTTGCGCCATGGTTTGAGATTGGAAAGGCAGATAACCAATCATTCAGTAAACTTGAGCAGAAGCATTGCTGGTGAAAGAACCCGTCACGTCGGACCATTTGCAAAATTGTCAGCAAACCCATGCGATAAGTTTGTCCTAAGGAGCTTATAAGTTTGAACTGGAAAATAGACGTTTCCTAGGTATCTTAACGCTTTTGATGACTGTGGTGCGAACGCTCTAATACACATAGCAATGACATTACGCGCCCTGAAAAGGCCTTTTGTTAAAAAAATGAATGTGATATTACATCTCGATTCATTAAAAAATAGCGCACATAGAAAAGTCTCCTGATTTTCAGCAATGCCTTGTTTTCTGCATTATCCCGCCATGTTTTAAAAATAGACTAAACAATAGCTTAGCTCATTTTCTAACACACATCTTTTTTAGTCTCTCGCTCTATAATTTTTCAGCCAGTTTTTAATTTACAATTTCCTTATAGGATCTCGGATCTACATCCAGCTCCATTTACTGAAAGGAGCCCATTCATGACACAACTGCTCAGGGAAACTCGAGTTTATTTCAAACTGATTAAAACGTTTCATGGTTTAATAGTTGCTTATCTGTGTGTTTTATTTTGCGAACGAAAGGAATTCTTATATACCTTGTTCTCCCTAAATTGCATATGACTTTGCGATACTTCTCACCCCCCCATACCGTATAAATTCGGGTTCTTGTTGACGACATTCTTCTCAAGCATACTGAATATTAGTCAAAAGTAAGAATGACAATTAAATGTTAATTATATGCTGTCGTGGATTTTATACATTCTTTTTATTTCTATGATTCACTAACACAACGTATTTTGACTAGATTAACCGTTGACTCTCAGAAAGCTGACAATTCTCGATAGACTCCGGCTAACTTTCTAATCGAGCTTCAACTGCTTAATCATTTGCTTTAATCCCGCACTGTTATATTTAGCTCGATAGAGAGACATTACTTCCCACTTAATGAGATATCAATTGACTACTGCGATGTTCATTATTAATAGGTTTTAATGAAATGCGTAAAATACAGATCATTCAAGAGGCAATTTGAGCTCATTTGCAAGTTCTCCTATGAGACGAGGCAAGAAACCAATTACGTTCCTGCCATGCAGCATGCGTACCAAAAACACTTTAGGGTTATCGAATCATTGATTGTCGGCTTACTCGCTTTCTTAGCTTCCTGCTTTAACACAATTCAGTAGGAAGCTTCTTCATGCCCAGCAGCTGCTTCCGGCCTAAAGTTAAAACTATTGTACTAGTATAAAAGCTATGTTAGATTACATTGCTATCATCTAGGCAAACGCTTCCATGGCTTGGTTCACACGAATCTCTCCTAGATGATGCCTACCGGCAACTGTTTTTCAGACACCCTCTGCTTTCCTTCCGCTGATGGTGCTTTTTGCAATGTCAGCAGCCTCAGGCATGTTTACCGAACAGACTATTTTATGCTGCGATCAACGTTATCAGACGGTCTGTGATGTTTGTATTGTCGCTGTTCCAGCATTCATTGGATATTTGTCAGCACGGCGGCAGATGACTGTCAGACAGTTATGATGTCTTCTGTCCCTAAAAGACGTTGGTTTAAGAAGTAACAGGTGGATGACGCAGACTAAACCAGAAGCAATCTCTGTCTTAAACGTAAAAGGCGTGATGCGGATGTGGAGACTGTAGAAGTACTGCTCACATAAACCGATGCGGATAAATCACCTCTTGTGTATGAATGCTGATCGACAGACACAGTTTTGGAACTCCGGCGGAGTCTAAAGTATGGCATAAGATGATTACGAGGAATTCTTTTTAAGATTATTCTACAAGCATTAATGCGGAGAAGGATGCTCGACGGATGTGAAAAAGGCAAAAAATCCTTTTCTCACTCGCAGCATCAAATGACTACAAATGACAGTCCTTAAACAGCAGTATAAATTAGCTTCTTGGATGCCTAACTGTTTTTTATGACTATTCTGCACTTTCTTTGGGACAGAATATGGCAATTTGGTGAATGTTCATGCAATCCGAAGTGCTTAATCAGCTCAATGTTTCCTTTCGCTAAAATGACCAAGTCAGATGCGCGTTTTTGGGCTTACGAGCATCCTGATGACAGTAATGCCTGCTTCGAATTTCTTTAAAAAGGTAATACAGGAGGACCATTTTATTTCCTCTCATTCACTGGGCCCAAGGAAACCAAGTGATTCTGTTATTGTTGCCAGAGAAGCTTGCTTAAATAAATCTTAAATATTCAGTTCCGGAACAGTGTGGTCAAACGCTAATATCTTTTCACGAATCTACTCTAAGATAGTGAACTTCTGGATGTGTGTTCACTTGAAAGCGTCTGATGGTCATCGACGACAATGGAATCACCATCAAGTCCTGTGGTGGGTCTCTGTGGGAATAAATTTCCATGTTCTATAACGACTAAAAGCTGGAATCACTTTTAAATTAAAGATGAGCGCATGGTGTCGGACACTTCATCGTGTAGTCAGGAGACCGATGAGTCGAAAGTGAAAATTTACACTGGAGAAAGTCAATTTCACAGTCCCAGTCTTGAGATGAACAGAGATGTGTAACTGGTCTGAAACACTGTCTGTTAGAAGTAACCTTAAGATAGATGAAAACATGTATAATAGATCATATCAACACGATTTCTAATATATTATGTATTTGCTCCTCAGATAAGAAAAAAATGTCCTGTAGCACATGCAGAAGATCGCACTATAACACAGACAGACCACGACACAAAATAACACCTCCTACAATAGTATTCGCGATGTGGGGCATGTCGATCGTAAATAAGGATTCAGTGAAGACTTTGAAGAAAAATGAATTCAGTCAATTCTAGGAACGCGCAGGCCGCCCAACTCAACTACTGTGAATTGTTAAAGGAAAAGCCGCTTTTACCTAAAATTCATCCGTCATACGTAAGCATAGCAGATTATGACCGTGCGCATCTTAATCTATCGCAAAATGGCAATATATTCAATCAGGTGCACCAACTAGTTACCGCATGAAAATGTCCCGCATTTGCTCCAACTACTCCTTAGTTCCTTCTTTCGTCTTTGGAGAAGCAGAATCTGTAGTAAAAAAAGATATTTCTTGAGAACAAAAACTGTGGGCTTATGACCCTCTATTTTTTTATTGGGACATGAACATTTCATCCCGAGACAATTAACGGCAAGCAAGAGCATCCCTTAGCGTCTCGTTTAAAATATTAGAGTCGCCGAGCGAGACTCGGAACGTAGACATCAACACATTGTCCAAATGCGTCCTGGTAGATGGTCATTCATTTCCATATGGAGACTGCGATTCTAATGTTTTTTGATTGACCATACTGTCAACAGGGATACCAACTAGAAGCCCATACGTGTGTTTCGCCGATTTCGGACTGCTGTATAACGCAGCCAGTCTGAAAAGGGTTCTTCTTAATGCTTTTCTCCAAGCCGGCACATTGCTTTCTGAGAAGGTCCAAATGCTTAATTATATGCGTAGTTCTTGTTTCAATATATATCATTAAAGCCCAATCCGTAAGCAGTGTATTTCGTAAATTCTGGAGTATTTTTAGATGCATCGGGTAACTTGTCACCCTTTCAGTTCTTATCCGTCTTTTAAAGAGAGAATTTTGAATAATGACTGTCTTTTTGCTGTCTCATAGGATCTTACCCCATTCACCTTTCACTGTTATACAGGGGCACATTACTTATTTAGAATAAGTGAGAGCTGATGCCGACGAGGGGCGAAAAGAGTTAAACGGCCATTTCTGACTTGCTAGACCTCATAAGCCGGAGAGAACAAAACACGCATACTTCGTCCTCAGGTCAGGGTAGATCAATGAATACGTCCTTATGTGACCCTTAACAAACGTTCTCAAACAGCTCTGTTTTGCACATGGAATAATTAATGCCAAAATTGATGTGGTGCAGATTTTCAGTTGTCACCTTAACCTGCTGAACGCATCGGGAGAAAGCGGTTCTGAAAATTCTCCTCGACTCGTGAATATTATATTTGTTGAACTCGAGGTGAACAAATAATCAAAGTGTTGCATCATACCCTAACAACTATTCCACGAAAAGCAATTGATGTTAATGCTAGAGAACGCAATAGACTACTTGTCAGAATTCGAACTACCGCATGTAGGGTTTAGTCTGAAGGGAACTGTTAAACCCCTCGAAGCCCTATTCGACTCGCCTGAGATCTCTTATCTTACTGTCGGATGGAGTGATGTCACGTTGGAGAACAGCATGATTCCAGTCGGGAAATCGTTAGACTTTAAAAGTAAATCATGAACTATGAAGCTGGTCCAAAGGAGAATACAGCTGTAAACTGAAGTCATTCTAGACCAGCATCTACCGTTTTAATGCCCATTTAGGACTGGTTGCAGAGAAACCTTGGCGGTGACTCAGAGTGTCCTGTAATATCCCACGTATCGTGTGGCTATGTAAATGCGCGGCTCACACTGGGTGGAGGTTGCGGCTATGCAAACACGAACACAACTCGTTTACATAACAGGGCAGCAGCTTCTGTCAACTTTCTGCTTGCACCCTGCAAATGGGCCATGGCTGCCAGTCATGCGGCCTGAACAGGAATTGCTTTGAAGAAAAGTGGCCTTTGAGTCCCGACCTAAAGGCAATGGGTCGGCACTTCCGTCTGCCCACACCGCGACTCATATGCAGCCGTCGGCAGGATTAAAGTGAAACCGTTGCACACTGCTCCTGTTTCAGATTTTCGTCTCAGCTTACAAACTAAAGTAGGATTTGGGAATATCGAATGTTTGGCACTATTATTTTGGGACTTAGGAAAGTTTCTACTTTAATTGTAATAGCGTATTATGTGGGCCTATACTCTCGCAACTTATTCAGTCACCCCAAAGCATGACTAGAAACCGTAGGTCATGTCTCAGACCTAGGTGCAGATAAAAGTGCTCATATGCGCTGCTGACGCAAAACAGTGCCGACCGTCACGGCGGCAATCCATTTCAAGGTCTTTCTTTCGTCAGTGGTGACTAACCTCTTGTCCGGCATCCATACTAGGCTCTGATTGGTTAATTAGTTGCATGGCCTAAGCCTTTACCTGCGGCCCAATATCGATAGACACTCGCCTAGGAAATGGTCCTGACCCGGCCAACTCCAGCCGAGAGGCTTACCTTTCCACGCTGCGACATTTAAAGCCCTGCTGGAGCGCTAGACACGCAACAGTCAATCAGTGACTCACGCTGCTTTCTGCACGCATATGTACTCCGCGATGTGTCCGGCTGTGAATTCCGTCTGCAATAATAGGCACAAGTACAAGCGCAAATAATCGCAGAACGTACAAATTTAGGTGTTACCGACACAGACTAGTGATAACGGTCATTTATGGCTTGTTTGCAGACGGCAGTCAACCATATCCAACAAGAAATCTGGGCTAAAACGGAGCGTCTTTTTTTCGTTTTGAAATTCGAACAAGTCAATCAAAGCCATTTTTAAATGAAAGCAAAGATCGATCAAGTCCAGTTAAAGCCTCGGTTTTAATATCAGTTTATGCAGAACTTAAGTTATGTTGCAGTCAGTGCGTGCTCAGGTCGCTAAGGGAGCATGCGAGAATAAAAACTGACTGGTTCCAACTGTCACAATCATTAACTTCGCCCGCTCTTTGCTGGTGAAATACATAGGATATGGAAGGAAATATGTCGAGGCACTTTAAGCTGGAAAATATTACTTAGATGAGGTTGAAATGTGGTTAACATGGGACACGATCTTACATTATTTCTCAGGCTGTAGCACGGTGTCTTTTGCGTCATTATCTTACCAATCACCTTTTTAAACGACCTTTTTAAACACCATCAATCTATGGCGTGGAAGATGTCAACTGTTGTTTCCAAGAGCTCCGACATCACCAAAAGACTAGGGAGCCGACCCGATGATCACAAACATCTTCACGGAGCAAACAGGAAGGTTCTTAAGATGCAGGGTGGTTGAGGCCTGGGGAAGAAAACTAGTAGAAACTCATTTGACCCCGATGTGAACAAACTCGGCGATATGGTGGGTGGGTAAAAGGCAAAGGCACCCGAGCTGGTCAAAGCCTCTTCAGGCCAGAGCTTGACTCTTGTGTTCATTACGCGGGCCGGAAAAATAAGTCTGGATACTCCAGGCCCACATTTGGCGGCGTTGATAATGCTGTCATAGGAGTCGGTCCATTCAAACAACTCTCGAAGATGGGCCTCTTGCTAGCAGTGGTCCAAGAATGCTACCGGATGCTCATCGATGAAAGCGGGGGACATAGTAGAGACTGTGAAATGCTTGACCGGTGAATATCTGATGAGTCAAAATAACGCCCCTTAATCCAAAGGACAGGTCAGTTAGCTCTAGCCGCCCCGAGAAAATGGTAACGGTAGTCTAGGCGCATTCCTGAGTTAGATTGGTATTTGACGGCGGGAGAAATTCATATTGATTTTGGAGAACACGTGCTTACTGTGAAGCCACAAACTGGAATTTCCGATATTTGGACAGCGTACTCATAAGGAGGGTTAGTAAGTACAGTGCTCTCTAACGGGCCGCGTGGCAGACACGGGCCCTATCGGATTCTGGCAGGCGTTATCGGACTTGCACACCAAAATAAATGCCAATATTTCGGGGTGCGGTGGCAGACCCGGTTGCCGGCAGACGTCGCGCACATTGAGACCTCTGCTGACCCCCCTTTGTTGTTGTTGTTCAAGGACCTGCTCATTTGCTGTGTGGACCAGGAGTGGAGCGCCAAGGTGAGGGCTCGGCCGCGACATCCACCTGCACCCTCCCCGACTCCGCTTTTCTTGACTCAGTCTTGACACCGGGCTCAGTTGGGGGAAGAGGAAAGAGAGTGCGGTAGATTCTGTGCAAGTCCACTATCAGTATAAAGTAGTTCAGGCACACGTCACCGTCCCTGCTCCCACCTTACTGTGGGGCACACGGTTGACATCGAAGGCAACGATGGTCGAACTGTCTAGTAAGTGCAACGCACAGTCACCATTCGCTAGTCGCCTTCTTTGGGACAACATGGGGCCACGATGACCAGCAGTTAAGTGTCAGATACCGCGAGCGTATGTCTGAGCCTTGTCTGGGAAATACTAAAACTGATCAATTCCGGAGGATACGGTTGGGATAATTTTGGCGGGCACTCAACATTCATGGGATGGATGACAGTGCACCAAATAGTACTTTCCAGATAGAAGGATCTGTCAGGAGGGAAAATTGTGGGAACACATAGGTGTGCGCACAGCCAGAAACAGAAATAATGATGCCGGACCGGGACGCTGGCATGATTAAAATCTGAGTCGACGATGTTTTAGATCCACCAAGAATCCAAAATGAGTTAAGAAGGTGGCCTTTTGAGTGACCGTAGAACCATCGATGGCAAGAAGAATCTGCAGGAATATGTGTTGCAGACTCGCATCAGGTGTACTAGAATATTGACCAAAGGCCTCCTTGGTTGGACTCACAGCAACTGCCCGTTCCATAAGCCAGCTAAAGGAGACACCAAACTAGCCTCTTCACCAGATTACCGAAGGAAATTCGTGCCGTCTAAATGGTTTGAAGTACCAAATGGTGTTCATCGAGATCTGTAGCACACCCTTCGTCGTCATGGGAACCGTCAAGAAGGGACATTTCTCCCATCGGGGAAGATGCATTAAAAGCACCGGTAAGGATATGGCCTGTAACCTACCTGGGATGATTGGTCAAAAATTCACCTTCTTATCTTATTTAGGCAGATGTGGTGCATAAAGGCCTTCCTGGTAATAAGTCTCCAAAAGGGGCTATGTGGTGCGCGGTATTCGACCTTCATTAGCATTACTGGCTTTAAACTTGCTCTTATCGGGCTCGAGGTTGAGGTTAGGGCTATGAGTTGGATTATTCCTAGGCCTAGGTTTTCTATGCTCTGGTTACGGCTTGGATTTGGAGTTGAGGCTAGTGCTTGGGTTTTCGGCCTTGAGTTAGGGTTTTAGGGATGAAGTTTGGGATTGGGCTTCTGGGGTTAGTGTTGGTGTTTTGGGGTTGGGGGCAAGGGTTAAGGTTAAAGCTATAAGGCTTGAGTTAGGGTTGCGGTTGCGATCGAGTTTTCCTATAAAGCTTACGGGTTGGCACTAATATTACCTATTGCAACCATGACCACGGTTGATGGTCTGGTCCTAGTTAACTACGGTTTCCCAGTGGGTTTTCATACCATATCTTTGCCAAGATTACTGCCCGATGGCAAACTGTGCTTTGCACGCAGCTGTCTGCAAGCGGAATGAAATCTAGCAGCGCAAAAGTAGAAGCTGAAACAGACTTCTCAAATAGGGTTAAACTCCTAAGAAGCATGTATTTGTTCATTCTCGAACTTAAATAAGGGGTTGAGGGATTCCAGTATGGTTTGAGAAGAAGGGTCGTGTGTGGGATTGGTATGGGAAGCTGTGGAGGCAGCAATGGCTACAGTGTGTTGCAAAGACCTACATGCACTGTTACCATGGACGGAATGTTATACTCTCCCCCTTCCCCCGAAGCCGGGTTTCTATGGAAGTTATCACTGAGCCTCCACCTGTTCAGTTTCTCCTTCTAGCGGACAGACATGAGAGATGTCGCTTTGTGCACTACCCTTTGCCGTCGGAGTAACGAGTCCTCGAATTATACCGTCCGATATCACGCGCAATTCCTCAGTAACTACTCCCCATCAGTAATCTCACGCTTACTAACCTCTCGTAAAAGAAATACCTGACCTGATTGCACCGATTGCGGCTTCGAACAAACTGTAAGGGTCCGTAACTACGCCCGTAGTCATTGCTTTCAAAAGCTATCTGCCGGAAGCTACACTAGCAGAAGCTCGCTCGTTGTAGGTACTGCTGATCGTCTGATTCGTCGTTTTGCGTTTTACAAACAGCCTGTCATTCAGAATTTGCGCAATTTCAGTCATATGTAAACTCCAGCAGCTTAAAATTAGGCCGGATGTGTTTATACAGCCCCACCTGAGGTAAACAAACCCCATCCGCCTGTAATACGGGACCGATGGTAATAGGGGTTTTTGCAGGTGAGGCCGGGGAACGCGCAGGCAACTAGCTCAAGCACTTGTATGCAAAAAAAGAGCTACTAAGGATGCGCAGTTGTACTTTGGATGGTTGAGAAATAGTTGCCCTAACCCTTAACCCAACCACCTAACCCTAACCCCTAACCCTTAACCTCAGCTCTAAGCCCTAACCCAACAGTATTGTGTCCATCAGGTAAGGCTACATAACAACATCTAACCAAAAATTGCTCTTTTAGAATTACAGTGCCTAATTGCTGGATTGTACAATTCATTCTTTCCCGTCTGCCTCACGCCCCCCCCCATCCCCACCTGGACATCATCGAGAGGGGCTAAAGATTAAGTTGCAGATATTTGCCAGTGAACAACCCAAAGGTTTCCCAAATCAAAAGTTACGGAGACGCCCAAAACGGCAACCTGTGCAGCAGAAAGGGCGGCTTAGACGGCAATGCCAGCTGTTTTTGACCAAGTCGAGAACCAACAGCTGGGGTCGTTCACCCCGGTGCGGAGTGAGTGAGCGCACCTAAGTACCGTTCGACTGCAACCAATCAGCAGGGGTCATAACGTCAATTGGCTTCTAGCTGTCTCCACGCCGGTACCAAGTCACTTGCAGCGTAAGCATTTGATTGGATTGGCGTTTTGGGCGAACCTAATGAGGCATGACTAAGCGGTCACACTGGCGACCGTGGTAGCGGACTGTCATGCAGTCACACCCCCGGTCAACAATCATCTCGTAATTTCGTCCCGGTTCAAAGTTTTCAGCAGTTACGTTGTGTCTCCTTCCTCACCCTTGAAAGTACTTCTATGACCACTGCTTATTCGTTGTGGGCAACGTATTCGAACCGCAAATCGATTGGGAGCACACAAGAATAAAGCAGTTTTGAGAGAATGTTCTACTTTAAAGCGTTCAGCTTGTGAAACGAGACAGGCAACTGCATTGCTTTTCGTCGGAGCGCACACGTTTCAAGAGAACCGACTTGGATTAATAAGCTCCAAAGGAGGTAAACTGGTCACAGGGTGGTATATTTCGATCGATGGTGAGCGGAGCCATCCCTCGTTTAAATCAACATCATTAACAGGTGAAGCACCATTTCAAGACGGACTTAATTACTCTCTTGACCCTCAATGTCAAAAGGCGGGTCTTTATTGCTAAGAGGATATAACTTGGTCCCATGCGGCCGTTGAGTTCATTTCAATGTTGAATTAGTTAATAAATGACACTAATGGGAAGAAGGCACTGTGGTCCCTGAAGAGAGAATTTAATTCTACGAAAGGGGGAGTGGGGGAAGGAGAGGGAGGTAGAGATTAAACTTAATTTACCATAGTTAAGATACTAGTAGAAATGAGGATGGCGACAATTCTTATCTCAGTTTTTGGATTTCTACCTGTCTATACCTCAGACATCGTACCGAAATTGTGGATATGCCAGAACTCACGTCCACGGGGCGGAAAGACTTCGCAACAATTAGTTTAAAGCTATGAGGATGGACCAGATCATAAAGAATTCGACCAACGGCCGGGTCAGCCACCTGCGTACTCTCCCGCCTCCAGTATGGCCATGGGACCCTGGTGCGGAAGGAAACGAGTGTGGGGGATGTCGCGCAAGTCTGCTATCACTATAAACAAGGTCACGCGCAAGTCTCCGAACCTACTTTAACCCTGCCGTGGAGCAGACGGTGGCACAATCGGCAACGACGGGGGAACTGTCGCATCAACTCCTCCAACGGCGAATCACGACAACAATGCGAAAGACAAAATCTGTCTAATCTAGTACGTCCTCCTTGCGAGTGTGGCGAAGGAGACGAAAATGACCACCCTCACTGACTCAAAGGTCCACAGATACAACGCCACCTGCGATAAACTGTTAGGTTGCCACGGAATTGACAACTACGGCATGTAGGCCAGCACAGAACACAATCTTCCCCTGACAAGCGTACTCTTTGATCTTCCAAATTTGAAGATGCAACTTTGAGCGCACCCTCGCTCGCATACTGGCAACTTAAACACTGCATACTCTTCAGAAGGCGTGACCAGCAAGACGTTCTAATGACCGAGACGATGTGGGCTACAGAACGCACAGCCACCCTGTCATTCGTAAGATGGGGTTTTGAGGTCAACTCTGCTCACTATCTCAAGATAAACGAACACTAAGTAAACTAAATACTGCAACAGTGACTACAGCTGAACGCTGATTGGATTTTAGCAATCTTGTGGTTTGGAAATCGGGCCAAATACAATTCCAGAAAGATAAGGCTTTCACCGAGATCCACTTGCTGGAACTGTGAGATCTCGTTCAGGCCAACGCTCTGGAAGTCCTCAGTCGAGCGCATCGACAGCCCCATGACTGTTTCGATGGTAACGAAAAAGAAACCTGCTTTTTTGAGAGAGCAATCTACGCAAGACCTATGCCAACAAAAGTACGGGCAGCAATGAAACGGACATTTTACACCGCCGAAGCCTACTGACCAGAGACTGCGAAAGATGTGGAACGATCGTCCAATGCTAAAGAAATTCCAGGAGACGCTGACTGTGGTGCGATTAAGAATTTCTTCGTAGATATTTTGGCAGTCCCAAACCATGGGACCGCGTAGCGGATAATCTAAGACTGCGCAATCCTGCTGCCGAATAAGTCGTAGATCCTGGAGCGTGCGACGGAGTACACTCGGGTTATCCTCAATCACCAATCTATGAGTGAACACCAAAACCGGCCTCACCTTCTATTCAAGGAAAAAACAGTACAGCAGACGTGGAGAGATGAAGTCCGCTACATGTTGACCAGGCACTGGGTCGTGTGTGCCACGTGCAGACAGCCTGTTTAGCTCAGTCAACTAATGAGTGGACAGAGACCTGGTCGTTTCGGCTACGTCTTATCACCGTGTGACAAGGTGAACGGTTTTGAAGATGGGGTGAGGCGGATGCAACTACAGTCTGCCCCACTGCAAGCAAATTTTTACCTGAAGTCATTGTTGGGCTCACCTCGTGGGCGGTGGTAAGAGCCATCGTCTGCAACGATCGAACTCTCATCTGGACATTCCGAACGAGAGAAAATACCTAACGATCAGGAATTTCAGTCGAAGATGAAGGTGGGAAAACTCTCTGGAAGGAACTGTTTATTTGCTTGACGTTTTGAATGCTTACACGAGCAAGTCATTAGAAGTAAAGGAAGTGTGCAGTTAACACCAGCCTTCCGAGAATGACCCTGGACTGTGTTTCTGATTTAATGGCGTAAGGCCAATAGAAGCGAAGAGACGAGTCCCAGGAAGCAGTCTTAGTTGCGTAGTGCCTGATAAGTGTCTGTCAAACCCGCACGTTTGATGACTGAGTTAACTATCGAATGCCACGACTCCTGTAGCGAGTGCGAAATTCAGGCATCTGACTGACCCAATTCGAGGGCGAAATAAAGTCCACAGATGACATTTTATCTGCGTTCCTACATGTTCTTGTGGTCCTGCGCACCAGTTTTACCAAAGTAATTGGCATATGCTTAGTTCCCTTCCGTCCGCAATGCATGCCTATTCTCAATCCGGTCTTAAACATTTACTGGGGTTGCAAGCTAAACCACGTATTTGTGAAGAGTAAAAACGGATACAATGCTTACTCTGACAGCGATCTTTCGATAAATGCAGAAGACGGGAACGTGCTACTTTGAAGTGATTAGGGAAACTTTCTGTTACATAGGACGTGCTTGATGATGTGTGTGATGTGTAGCAGAGACTGCAGCCGCCATTAAACCTTTCCGGTGTCTTGCTAATTTGTCCAAGAGTTGTCTGCAGCCTCCGGAGAACAAATGGCAAAGTCAGTTTTCGTAGATACCAGACAGGAGAAACGACAGAGAATGCGAATAGATTGATACAGAACTTATATGCTAATGTAGCCGACCTCGGCCTGGTAATTGCTTGTCTGTTTGGGAAATTTTCTACCCCATACGAGGTCTGTTTGCTTCAGGAATCCAAGAGACCGGTGTGCGCCAATTTCTGACTGATCAAATACCCGATTTACAGCGACAGATAATGACAGGGGACGAGACAATGACGGACTATGGTTTGGTGAAGAGCTTATGACCCATCTACTAGACGCCATCTGCGGACCATCTGCGTCACGCATGAGCGCATGTGTGTGTGTGTTTCTGGTCTCATTTGGTAGTCGAGGTTATGGTTGGCTGGATGAAGGCACAGTAAACTGAAAACGGCACTGTATCAATCTACCTGCATTCTTTGTCGTTTCTCCCATCAGGAATTATAACTCGACGGACTTCGCATTGGCAGTTGGTTGCCTTTTCGTGACACTTGCCCCCTAATACGGAGCTTGTTTGCTCCGGGAAGCTAGTAGATCGGTGTGCACTCACTACTGATTTCGCAGACATCTAAAATGATAACATACAAAGTCAAACAAGGGTATGGTATGCAACTCTCCTGGGGTAACTTCAGCTACCTACAACCCTTACTTCAGCTGTCACTATGCCTGTAGCGGGTAACCCTAACCATTAGCCCGTAAGCATTTCAGGAAAACTCAAATGTAAACTTAACCTTAACCCAAGCCTTAAAACCTAAACCATAACCTTGATCTCAACCCCAGCCTCAACACCGTGCTCAAACCATGACATAAGCCTGACAACCCTAGCACATGAGCCTGATACGAGCAACGTTAACAGCAACAACGTTGGTGAATTTCGAAACCCGCTTAACGCCTTTCGCGACTTACAGCTAGGCAAACCGTTACGAACCAAACTCACCTAAATAAGATAGGAAGGTAGATTTTGGGTAACTACCCAAAATTAGGACTCTCATCGTGTCCGACTGAGAATTATCGTCAGATTTCTGAGCAATAAGCACTTTGGTAGGAGGGCGCTCACAAATCGTGTTACGGAACTCACTCGTCCCATTGTGTCTACAGGGCCCTCCCTCGAGCCCAATCAGCAGCCGCATAGCGGCGCGTACTATAGGCAGAATAATATTACCTATCATTTTGTATGTTCGATTGCAACCGAAAGGACAGCGAGCCCTCTGCTAAGTGGTTAGGGGCGTTGGACTTCTAACCAACAGGTCGCGGGATCGAGCCTCGGGTGTTCAACACTTCGCGGTTGGGTTTGACTGGCTGACTATGGCTAATAAGCCGGAAATGGCCATGCCAGTCTCCCTTTTCTTTGTCGGTAATGCTATTCTGCCAATAAGTACTTTGTTGATAAGATAATTATTTTAAAAAAGAACATTTTTCTCTTAGATTTTTTGACGGAAACTAACGACTATTACTTTTTGAATGCCGATCCCGACAGTCTTGTCACAATTCAGAATAGGGTTTTCTTTATAGTATACGGGGTGACATTGAAGTCAATATTCTCAGTATAACGAATATTTTACATCATACAGCAAGAATTTAATGTGGCTTCGAGGCGGCAGATGTGAACTTTCGGCCACTGAATTGTTTAGTCGTTCTTCAAGTCCGCAAGTGAAGACTGCGCGATTCTGTCCTCTATTTGTCATTCTAGATCATTCATGCATTTTCCAAATTGACTGGTTTTCAATCGACAGACACAAAATCAGGCTAACAATGTAACAAGTTTATTAACACGGGCACTTTTGAAACGGATGTAGATGAAGATAAGACTCAAAAATTAATTATGCATCGAAGCCAGAGTTTTGTTCCTTTCGTCTTGTGGAAACCACACCGGAAAAAGCGCAGGAATAAAAATGCGGGTCAAGATTGATCCAATTAAGAAGAGCAGACAGACCGCGAGGATGGCTAATCGGAGTAGCAGGATCTTTTTGAATTTACTTCGAGATACCCTGCAGTCGGATAAAAACAGAGTAGCCTGATTAAGTGGAGCAACATAAATTGCCTTTCTCAGATATCCAAAAGGGTGGTGTAATCATGATTTTACTATCTTTTGTCGCGTGCGGCTTCGTTCTGTGAGAGATATAAATCAACTAGCCTACCTTTACACAAGATTCGTGTCGGTGTTTATTACATTGCACAACTGCTGCGTTTTGTTCAGCGTTCAAATTCGAACATACAGTCGGTGACCGATCTCATGAAATGTCAACCGAAATTTTGAGATGCGTTTTCGACTGGGAAAGATTACTTAAGTGGGGTCGTATCATTGATTATCTTATGGCATAGTCCCGTGACATTTCAGACACGTCAGGGTGTTGGCTTTTGGATTCACTTTTTTCGACCGCCTATAAAAACTGCACTAAGTAAAAGATGACTAATTACGTAGTATGTATTTTTTCCATCGATTTTCTATGTCCTCATATAGTCAAATGTATCTTATAGAAAACCCCCATAAAAAATTTTTCTCGCATTCATTTAACAGCAATTCGAGCCTTCTTTAAATTCTGTACCCAAAGAAATGGCATCTATTGGCTTTTAGATGGTTTCTAATTATGAGATTCTATAAGACCGTGCAAGGTCCATTCGAATAGAACCCCATCTGTCTGTTTGATATGCTCCTCACTAAGTATACAACATATTCCACATCCGTTGCAACATTTTATGGCAACGGTAGGTTGTGCAACCCCACATCGCAACTAGTAGCCCCAAGTCTCTGTAATACGGGAATGGTGGTTATAGGGGTTCTACGGGTGGGACTTCACCGCGGAGGGGAAATATTATGAATGCAATAAAATGTAAAAACAAGTAGATTTTCGTTTAATTTCCTCTTTTACCTAAAAAAATAACCAAAACGTACTTCCAGTAAATAAGACTTATTTAAATAAACCGTAACTCGCAAAATTGAGGCAGGTTAGGAACCATATATAACGAGAAACCGCTAGGAAAGAACAACAGCAATTGTCAAATATTGAGCTGTGGAAATTTAGTGCGAGGTAGCGTGATGCACATAAATGTTAGAGGAGTTATGAACATGCACCCTAATGAACATGAACAATTCAGTCCGTTCTATCACGTCAACCACACTTTCATTCTCATTGTGAATGTGACTGACACTCGACAGGATGCTCATAGAGAGTTGCCCTTACCTTAAGTTGTTGTATTTTTAAATTTTTCTTTTGAAAACAATAAAAAGCATTGCAGTTCCCACAACGTAACTGACCCGCTAAAATATTGTTTATCCGAGAGAAACGCTTTACGCGCGTCTGAGAAATTTACGGCAAATAGCCAAACGTTTGCCTTGTTTAATTTCCGAGGAAACAGATGCGCGAACTTGGAGTAAATCTCTCGAAGCAGACCATTTCAGGCACTGTCCGAAGTTTGATATGAATATTTGAGCTGAAATTCATCAGCTTCTGTGTAATAACCGCCTTATATTCACAAACCGCTAACAGGCAGTCAGTAGTATAGACTTGTATAATTATTCACCGTACTAACAACATATGTATGAGCTAAAAGCCCAGACATGCGTGTTTCGCCGATTTTATGTCGCTGCCTGACGCAGTTGCGAGGGGTTCGGCTCGTCAATGGGTCCACCAGCTTTATTTGTGTGTTTTGTGGTATATGAACTCCAGTTTCACCTTGCCTTGCTTAATTTCCGAGGAAACTAATGCTCGAACTTGGAGTCAATCTTTTGAAACAGACCTTTTCAGGCACGGTCCGAAGTTTGATATGAATATTTGAGCTGAAATCCATCAACTACTGCCTTACGTTTATCCTTTGGAAAAACTTGAAAGAGGACGTCATTTTTTACATATGAATAAGGATCGGAACTAGGTCGGCAGTATGACACCCAGTAATTTTTCCTACTTCCTCAGCGACAAAACAAGGCGTTGATTGATGCTCTCGACACAAATATTCGCGGAGCGTGGGAAACAATACTTCTCTGTCTCCGCACAACAGCAAAGTTTGCCAACTTGAGCGTGTGTCAAGTACCTTCGCCCCCTAAAACGAGCCACGGAGTAGATGCGCTGGACGAACACAGGGGCTGGACTGGAGTCCGACAGACGTTGTCAGGACTGCGCATCCATAATAAATGTGCATTTACTGGCTTACACCGCGCCAATATGAATCCCAGCCGTCTCCCCCATTTTTGTTATAAAATCCTGATCAATGTTCGTTGTGGAGCAGTGGGTGTGCTGGTAGGCCTAGGTGCGGGTTTACGCCATGACTTTCACCTGCAACCTCTCCCGCCTCTGGTCTCGCTAACCTGTTCATGGCACTGGGTCCAGGTGGGGGAGGAGGGGGCGCGGTAGGTGCAGAGCAAGTTTACCATCACTATAACCTAGTTCAAGCACAAGTCACTGTTCTTGCATCCACCATGTTGTAGGCACACGGTGGACATCGTCGACCACGACGGTCGAACTGTCATATTAAAGACCGCAGCAAATGCATTAAAAGTAAGTGACTTTGGCACTGCCGGTCATTCATTAAAACCTAAGAAAAGTGCTCTTTTTATCACTGTTTTAAAGGATCAACATTGCAGTCGATATAACACCTAACATACCTTAGAAGTACGGTCTTGTGCGCACTTAAAGAAAGCAAACAGTGCTGCGTAGAAACCTTGGCTTCCAATAACTGCATTAGAGGAGAGCTTATGTCGGTGGATGACAGCAATTAATGAATATAAACTCCTAATAAGCTTATAAACACAAAGTCATGATTCATGCAGGAGATCGTCCCTAGCTGCATTGCCATAGACTCACAAATTTTGTGTGCGACAAAAAACAGCGATTTTTGTTACGAGACGAGTGTTTTGTCTGAGTAAATGGTTACGATGTGTTTAGTGATTTCTTTCGATGCGGGCAGTTCGTGGAGCTATCGTGCTGAGATTCTCCGTGGTAGCAGGGTCACTGCAAGCAGATAGTTGTAGACACTTGTTCAGAATCAGCTTATTTGCATGCCTTTGGTTAATGCATTTTGCACTGCGGTAATTGCAGGATCTGGATGCATTTATTTTGCGTGCAAAACTGGGCAGCCTGACTGCATGACCGCAACCTCGCTGCGGCTTGAAGGCTCTGTCGGAAGGACTTCTTATATGTTGCATCGCGTAGACTTCCAGCAATTTTTCAATGGCGTCCACGAAGAGGCCAGTAACTACTATGTACGCCAAGCTGAATCTCATGATCATGTTCGATTTACCTTTTCCAAGGCGCGCTGGTTGTTTGAACGAAGCCGTTTTTAAGGGTTCCATTACATTACTTTAGGAACACAGGGTAGGAGTGAGGGTGTGAACTGTATGTACTCCCCTCGTGGCCCGAGATTAATTAGTCAAAAACTCGAGAGCTATTTGGTGCATGACAACTTCCAGCAGTTGCCAGTGTTCGGGTCGCACTCCAGTCCAAAAACCTTCCATATTGCCAAAGTCTAAAGGCTAAATTCTTCTGTCTCTGAACTCCCGCCCCGAGATGCATTTATCCAAACCGGATGAGGTTTTTTCAAAAAAAAACTATGTAGGTGAAAAGGTCCCTGAGAAGAAATGGTAGTTTCAAATGTATCTTTGGCAAGATAGAGCCTAAATTAACCGCTGGAGATTAGCATACACGATGTCGCGTGCAAGGAAGTCTTCCTATCGGAATATTTTTGGGAAAAGTAGACCATCAGGATATCTTAAAATAATATGTTTTACCTCAAAAAACACTAATGAAAGTAGGCGGACAACCCTGCCAAAACATGTTTTGCCCCGAGGGGTGGACCAAATTGGGCTGGACGGGGCCAGGGCCTAGTCTAAGGACTAGTTCGTCCATTACTTTCAGCCCAACTGATTAATAACACTATACGTTTTTCGCAGTACCAATAAAAGCGGCACGTTCCTGACGTCGATCACCCCCTAGAGTCAGTTACACAAGTATACTTCTCTCCGTCATTTGTTTTTGGAGGAGGATGGTGGGTGGAGCAATATGCCGAAATGCCAGTCAGTGATCCCGCCATATGGACGATAAGGGACGGGCCTGCAGTTGGGCTTTAGAGCACTCTCCCGTTCATCTCTATCCTCCAAAAAACAAATAACGGGCACTAGCTTACTCGTAAGATTGCTTATACGGACGACACATCTGTACTGTGAAATTAATCACATTAAGATGAGCAACTTCTCGAACTGGGCCATATTCCTGACCATCTTAGTCTGCCTGAGCTCTTACGGTGGAGACATGTGTTAACAGGGAATCAATAATAAACGACTGCGATTTAAAATTGATAGTTGTGAAATTCGATCTAGGAGAAATGCCCTTCTTAAAAGCATAACGTGGGTAAGTGCTGTCGATGAAATATGCTAAATAGGTCCTTTTTCACTATCTAAACGGCTCGGAGTAAGTAAATAACGAAAATTTCAAACATGGTGCGTTCAAAGCAGTAACGTACCTGGTTGGAAGAGGCAAAACCATCGGCGCGGGTCCATGCATTGGTATAAAGGACGAGCGCATCACAAGGTTGGTATTCGTTGTGTAGGAGTAGAGACTCCTCTCATTCGTCGGTTCGATCGACCGTGCTACATTGGCTTCCGAATTCTCTAATATCACAGAGATATTTTGGGGCGGCTGACTGAGCAGACGCCTTCGAAGGAGAGCTACAAAGGGTCATAACTTGTAACATTCCTCAGTGATCCAAGTTACGGGCCATTTCTGAGGGTCTACCAAGGGTCCTTTCGAATATAGCGGATTCGATGGCATTTCCAATTACAGCTTGAACCTTAAGGAGGACGAGGTGTTTTATTTAAAATTAACAGAATGGGAACTGAAAAGACTCACTTTAGTAGCCTGAGCATTCCAATTCAGACAGTTGCTCATTATGAGGAAGATGAAGGAAAGGAAAGCCAGGGTGATGATCAGGGCAAGCCATAAGCCTTCAATGGGAATAAGCTTACACGTTTGGGCTTACCAGTGATGCCCATATGCAGCATAAAGCCAAGAATAAAATACAGAGGGGTGCAGACGCCATAGTAAGAAACCAGGATACTGACTGCTCCCCGGGCTTGCAGACCACAGCCACGTAGGACACCACTGATATGAGCCTGGTAGGAAAGAAAATGCGGTGAATGATTAAGGGCATTTCTGGGTTTGGGATTGACAGGGCTGTGGGTCCAACGCTGGGTCCTGTTACATCCAACAAGATCGTAGCTGACTCGAAAAAAACAAAACTGAGAAAATAAAGGGATTTTTAAATCCCATTTAATATAACTGTTACTACCCACTACCTTCGTCGAAACGCTGAAGTGCAATCAAATGCATGCGGCAATAATGCTAATTTCGTAGTTAGACAATGCACAGATAGTGTGCATCTTGACAAACGGTCACATAAGAAAGTAGGCAAGAAGATACAATATGCTCACAATCGCACACATGGAGATGTTCTCTCAGTCTAGGGTAAACTGATGCTGTAGCACCTCCGGGCCAATTTACTTGTTGCAATGCAAGTTCAACCTGGGTTTTTAGAAATTAGGCTTTAGAACTTTCCTCACCAAGTTGGTTTTAAAATTCTGGAGAACTACAAAACTCGGGTTATATGAAAACAATATGTTACAGTTAATACATAGTAAGAACGTATGTAAAACGCTCACCAAATAAGTAGTATCTATACTGATTTAGTAGTCAAACAAATGGACACTTGCCGCATATCCATCCAAGGGTATGAGCACTAGGAGATAGGGCACTACGGGTTCCAATTCTTCGAGTATGTTTCTGAAAAAGTTTCAACTACACAGTTAACGGTCCTGTCAGTCAGAGTCGTTTCGGTTTCATAAAATTAATATTTATCCATTAGACAACGAGCTACTTATGACCTTGTAGAGGACATGTCTCATACAAGCGTCCGTCTAAAAATTGGTGCAAAATACTTGCGCTAAAATTCTGTTTGCTAAAAGAAGGTGTTTTGGAAAAAAACGAAAGTGAAGATTCGTGAGGGAAATTTGGACGAGTAAAGCCATAAGTGGAAGGAGACGAACCTCAAATTACTAGTGAAGACAAGACAGATCGTTCATCGAACGTTTTAATACACTTCTCGAAATTTTCGATCCCACAAACAATTACATTAAGAGAAACCTGAAACAATGCCTTACCCTTACTCAGCACAAATTCACATGAACCTCAGACCCCTCATTATCTGAAGCTAAGGCTAATTTTTTGGCGCGAAATTGGCAGCATTAGGCGAAATCAGTAGTATGAGAAATTGTGCTTTGCGTTATACAACCTACACGTAGACAAATTTAGCTTATTTCTATCCCCAGTTTTCATCAAATCAATGCTCGTTGTGCATAACAGTTGGCAACCTGAGTCAAAACAGGTTCAATGGATAGCAACTCGTTCTCCAATCATGAAGGTAGAAACAGTGGACATCAGCCATCTTTGCAATCTGAAATTAGTAAAACGTCATCGATAACCGCTGATTCAAGCATAGACGAGAGGGAATAAAATCGTACCCAGGGATGATAGGACAAACTGTCATTATGAGACTGAACTTGCGGACACCATATGACATGATCCGAACAAATTCTCACTAAGAAGAATTATCATTGATAGTTGTGATGAAAGTTTTATTTGCGTGACCTACAATCGACCGCTGGGGTTTCAGTTTACACATGACATGGTTGTTGTGCAAACGTATGCCACTCAAACCCTCGATCACCAGGCATCAGTCAGGTCCGCTTATTGGCTATTCAAGATCTAGGGGCTGATTGTCGCTCCGTCCTCGCTTTTGTTAGTTTTGTCATCTGCAGAAAGCTTTAGCAATGTAGGAAGTCGCGGGTGAATACGAGCAGGGAGTTTGTGATAGGCAACGTGCCAATGTATTTGGTTGAGAATTCAGACTTTGAAACGGCCACCCCAAATGCTCCGCCCACTGCACGACACGTCAGGACCGCAGACGAAGTATGAGTGGGCAATGCTTTCGGTTGACAGTGAGATCGATTGTGGCAGTGAGAGGGAGAGGGAGAGAGTTAATGGTGAGTTTTGTTCCCTGTCGACTACTTGATGTCTTACAGGGTGATTTAGATTGTAGTCGGGCGAGGTTGTGAGCGCTGCCGAATGAAAAGCTTTAGGCAACTGGGTAATGTTAACAAGGCTTTAACCCTGCTCCTAGATGATTAGCTAATTTTGGGAGTCAGAAGTCATCTTACACATGTTGACGTGCCGGTCCAGGACACAGCGGTGAACAGGGCATCACGTGAGTGTGTATTCAGCGGTCTCTGCTTCGAAAACTGGGTTCTTTTTTCCAACTGTAGAAGCGCGGATTGTGACCACTGCATAATCAGTTACTAAGGGAACTCCCTCATTATCCCTGTTCAGTGATTCTTTGTTAACCCTTCACAGGTAATCTGAGCATCCTGTGATATTTCGGTCATTTTTTCCAATAAACAGCTTGATAGCAGCACATCGTGGCCAGGAGATTCTGTCGCACGCCCAGAGGTTCGTTCTCTCTCGCTGTTACTTGTTTGGCGAAGGCCTTGACACCAATCAACTGCGAGACCGTTCCTCCGCTATTTCAGCGAGTCTGCGAGCCTTAAATCCGCTGCAGTGGCAAGTAGTCAGCCATGGTAAGACTGTGGAAAATTCATGAGTCTGACTTAACATGTAGCCGCAGTACTAAAAATCCCGCAAGTTATCTCCTATGCTATGAGGCAAGGCTTTCGTCGCCACTAAATCGATCTGGTAAGAGAAGCCGAAGCGAATAGCAGAGAGTTAAACGCTTTCGTGAGATTGTGCTCTCTGGGGGTGCCGACGCATGTTGCACGTTGTGTAGTGGCTACATTGAACCCACAATGGATTGACAGGATGATATTAATGACGAAGACAAGGGAGACTGGAATGACCATTTCTGGCTTACTAGTCGTCGTCAGCCAAGTGTGGAACACCTGGAGCTCGATCCCGCGACCTGGTAGTTAGAAGTCCAACGCCTCTAAGCACTGAGCCACACGCTCGCAGTCTTGTCGGTTGCGAACGGGAATATACAATGGTTGAGGGGCGCTCACCGATCGTTTGTCTACGGAACTCACTCGTCCCGTTGTGCCTTACGGGAGTGCCTCTTTGGTAAAGAAACCTCAAGTTTCTACTCAGGGACGGGGAGTTTTGGACAAGTTTCGGGCGTATTTGCCAAAATAACTGACATAGCGGTTTGATCTCTGCTCTTCAGAATACACTCTTCGTCCGGTTTAATGCTGGAGGTTGACACTGAGAAGGCCGAGCGGCCCTTCAGAGTCAGAGCCTTTATCACCTTGTACGGACTGTAGATCATCGGAGGCCACTTTTCAGGAGAACAGCTTCTTTCAGGTTCTCCTCACCAAAACGCGAATCACATACTCAGTCCACGTTTGACAGACTCCCGGTTTATCCATAAACCTATGTTATCCTGGCAACAACGATATCGTCCACGGATGCTATAGCCATCACTTTGTAAGTACTGAGAATAGTTGCATGATCACAGTCCTAATCCATATTTGGCAACTTTCAAGCAATGCTCTCAGGGAATACCATTGTGCCTGCGACGTATCAGTTTTAGATCACAGGCGACTTGTAGAAAATTCTTGGTCGGATGAGTTGTAGTGTTTAACCATATATATCTACTGCCAATTCCTTTCGGGTCTTGAGCGTGGTAGTTGATTGCCTTGAATTTTCGTACGAAGACCACACGGGACACTAAAGAAAAATATCGGTCGGGTGGGCTTATGTAGCCCCACCTGAAATAAGCAAACCCCAGCCGCCTGTAACATGGGGCGGGTGTTAATAGGGGTTTTCACGGGCGGGGCCGGAGAACGCACAGTCGACGAGGTCAAGTAGTTGTACGCAGAAGAAAAGCTGTTGGGAGTGCGCGGCTGTACTTTGAGTGGTTGAGAAATAAATGCGCTAATCCCTAACTACTAAGTATAACCTCTAATCCTAAACCCTAACCCCAACGCTTAACAATAACCCCTAACCCTTATTCATAATCACAACGCTTAACCCTTAACCCCAACCTCAACAGTATTGTGTCCATCAGGTGCGGCTACAAAACCACATCTTACCAAAATACCAAACGTCTGAATACGAAATTTATTTGTCTGACGTCTTGGTCACCGACCCGAAGCCAGCACTGGAGGTGACAACTTGTAAGGGTAGTGGGCGCACGGTTGTCACGCGAGCACGAGGTTATCATCGTCTCATTCATCGCAAATGACCGTTCGCACTAGGGTCGCTGATTGCCGTGGTTTCATCATCAGGGCTGGCTATTGACGTGATAATTATCAGGTCTGTTAGTTTATCGATTTAGAGGCAATGAAGCACTGGTCACCCGTGCACTCCCCGCCAGGGGAGGCCTGACCACTGGATACGTAGAGTGGAGGTCATGGTGTAGCAGATTGGCTGTTGTCGCCATCATTCCTTCGCACGACCGCTTTTGTGTGTGGCCACACTCATCTGGGTTAATCCGCCAATTTCTCCGGCACAGTTACTTTGCCTGGAAAGGCGCCCAGATGGAGGCGCAAGCGATCGTAAAACATTCATTTTTTTCGCGTTAGCTACAAAAAATTCAGATCGAGGGGACCGCAGTCTGTGGGCATATTACGGCCCTTGCTGGTCATCGATACCGGGCGAATGCAAGTCCTCCTTCAGGTCTATGGTATAATAAGGTAGTGTCAGAAGAGATTAAGACCTTTGTAGAGTTCAACTATAGAATTAGGATGGAGAGGTTTGGGTGTGTCATGCCAGTTCTTGTCGCTTTGTTAGATCCCACACCATGGAAAGTGGCCTTGACATTAACAACACAAATGTGTGAAATGTTCAGCCCACGTAACTGCTTTCAGAAAGATTCGTTACGATTCTTCTAGACGGATCGGTCTTCTTCACCGAGTTTTATCACACTGGAAGTATTTCCGTTGAGTTTTGTATATTGCTGGCCCCAATGCTCCTACCTTCCATGATTTCGTTGCCTTCAGGTAGGTTTTCATTGGTCGGTCGTTAAATGTTTAAGATTTTGCGTTTGCTGGGAGATTTTATCTCAGCGTTCTCTTTACCGAACTCCTCAAAAATAGGGTCGAATCTTATTTCGTAGCTGTATCTGCAGTAGACAAGCCCCAGCCTAACCCTAACCCCACGCCCTTGACCTTAACCCCTAATCCCTGACCCCAACTCATAACCCTGGGCCCTATCCCCTAACCCCCCTTACCCCCCAACCTTAACACTTACCCCTTACAGGTACGGCTACGAAATAGGATCTTGCCGAAAGTTGTGAGTGTCCTTCGTGAATGATCTCGTTCGTGCCTCAGACGTCATTATTCTTCCCAATGGTCCTCATGACGATCGTCCTATAAGCATCGAAGAGGATGACTGACGGTTTGGGGTTCCAGCTTGTGGCATGGATTGTCTGAGGAGCCTACAAATTTAAAAAACCGACCCTCCGTCTCCTGCGTGAACAGCAACAGGTTAACACTCTTCCAGACCGAGTCCATATGCTTCAGAATTTCGCATATGCTGTCCTTGGTTTGAAATTGACCACGATGTGGCATTAGTCTTGTGATTGGTTGTTCTGGACACCCCACGTTCACTAGTCTACTAGCATTGCATATGTGCCTGTTGCCTCTAGCGTGCAAATAGTTCCCGTTCTCCAGTCTTCCCTCTTGTTGATCAAATGTGGAGGAATATTCTACCTGAGTCATTAAACATTCTGTTGAAGTCAATTGCTCTCGTTTTGAGGGACCTACCCGTCCCAGGGGTTGTCGCAAGCGCCGAGCCCATTCTTGGAAATTTCGTTTCCACAATCGCCAGCTGCTGGGGTACCTGATGGACTACTTTAAATGGGGGGAGGGTGGGGGGTAGGGAATGCTGCGGTGGTGAGGGTAAGAGTATTCCCGTTTCGAACTGGTACACAATATTCTAACAGCTCTAAGTCTGGGTGATTAGTAAGGCTCTCCTCGCCTGAGATCACTTGGTTGGCGAGGTCTTCTGGCACCGGTGTTAGGAAGCTGCCACCTCGGACCTCACCCATTTTATGATTGTTCTGTTAAAACACTTTCGTCTATCAGTCCGTGCACCAGTTACAGTTTAGTTACCTGAATGAATGACACCACTGAGGAGGCCTTAAGTACGCCGATCTCTTTCTTTACAATTTTTTTCGATCCAATGGACTTGTCGAAAACCAATCATTAAGCCGAAACTTTTGGCGATAAGGAACAGCATCCTCGGTTTCCTTCTTTCACAATAGCACGTCACGTAAATTCCGGTAAATGTGCTATCGACTCTTAGACACCGAACGAGGATTCCAGCCGTTCAGTTAACGTATGGACACGACAGTGTGCTGGGTACACAGACCGTCTGTCAGGGCAGCTCGCGACAAGTGTGGTTTATGTCATTTTCGAGGATTCGGTCACGTAATCGTTGAAGATGCCGCCTGGCCCTGCCGAGAGAACAGCAATTTGTCAGTCGGCGTCATTCCTTCCCACGAATCCTGCCTGATCATCTATCAGAATTCAGAGTATACGTAACCTCGAAGGCGATCACAGCTAGAATTTGGACCTGTAACTCGTCGACAGGACTTTTCAGTCAACGATCAACGAGCCAGGGCTTGAATCTAAGGTCTAGCCGGCCAGGTTCTGAAGTAATGGCAAGTGACCAGGAAAGTTGGACAAGAAATCGACAAGGAAGACGTTGTACCTGCCCGACCTCACTATCGTCAGCAACGCCGTTTTCCCATGCCGCCTTCAACTGATCAGGTGCCCAGTTCGAGTCTGCTCGCTCTTCTAATCCCTCTCCACCTATCTTGGCTGCATGCGCATTTCGACAACGACCTACCACCCAGCAGGCAACGGCATTTTCGGGAGTTTCCATCTTTGACTAAACACCGACCCACGGATCGCGGAAAACTCAGCGAACTGCTCTAAAAACCTGCACTTTGCATGTCTTGGCATTCCTGTGGCACCAAAGTCGGATCTGGACCACAGCGCAGCCGAATTGACTTTCGGCGCTACCCTCCGACTGCCAGGTGAGATGGTCACACCGACCCCTCGCGGTGCTGATGAGAGCCCTGACAATTTTGTGCATTGCCTGCGGCAGTTGATGCGTTCGCTTTCCTTCGATTTCTGCCCGCACTCCACCCCACCGACTGAGTCTTATTTCGAGAGAGGCTTGGCGGACTGCACTCACGTATTCATCTGGGATGACCTAGTGCGCTGACTGTCGGACTCATCAAATGGAGGACCGCTTCGAGTATTCTCACGCACTACCTAGGCTTGAAGGATCGCTCCCGGTGACAAGGACGTGCCAGCCTCGAGCGGGTCAAGGCTGCTGTTCCTGACAAGTCACCCAATCTGCCACAGGGACAGAAGTATGCTGGTTTCCTACCCCATGGTCTTCCACCTCCACCACCCTCTATCCCTCCATTCCGTCTACTGTCTGCCCGACGTGTCCTCTGCTTTCAACTACAACTTCGTCCTCCTCTCCGCCCTCCTCCTCCTCCTCCTCCTCCTCCTCCTCCTCCAACTCGTCCAACGCAGCATAAATTTAGCCCTCTACTCCTGTCCCCCCTCGTCCGTGCCGCACGTAGCGAACGCCGCGGGTACTTTCCTGATCGCTGGACTACTCATATTTTTTAGACATTAACATTCTCTTCGGCCTAGGCAGGGGATCCTTTAGCTGCCCACTCTCATAGACGTCAGCGCCGGCGCCTGCCCATGCCGCCTCCGGCCCGCCTACACGCGTGACTCATCATCCGACTCGCAAAACCGATCAATATTTCTCTCTTCACCGATTGGCCGCAGCCGGACGAAGTTCGGGCGCAAGCACTTAGGCGGGCACTAGCCTGGTGAGGATGCTGGCTGCTGTTTACTGAACTGCCTACATATTACATCGTTCCAGTAAACCCTGCCCATCTGTCTTCCCTGCCTTCCGATCTGGGAACCTTCAAGTTTTCGACCATGGCGCCTTGATAACATCGTCCGATTATGGGTCCAAGAAGTTGTGTCCTTGGTGTTTGGATGTCATTGATTCTAACGGGGGAAAGACCAACTCAGTTACGGAAGGTAGATCGGTGAACACGGTGGCCTATCCTTCACTTGTCTTCAGATTACTTCATCAAAAACGACATGAATGTTGGGACATAGCTTCAAGAGGTCAAGCGCTCAGCCGCATCCGAGGCAAACTGACGTTTCGTAAAAGATGTTGTTAATGAAGTCAAGTCAATCGGTGCTGAACTTGATGAGGTCTAGAATGCGGTTATACAAGTAAGAGAGAAGAAAATTGGCCGAGCACCGGCACAATTTGTTTATTTGTCTGAACTTTCGAACTGCTGGACGAGCGACAGTTATGGGGGGTGCTTGCCAATCAGCGGTCAGGGACTTAGCCATGAAGGTGGCTTTGCAGGACTCTGTATGCCGTCGCCAGATCGATGCATCGCTGAATGAGTTCTCGTCCCAAGCCCAGGCTTCAATGAGTTGCTGGCTTATTTTGTTTACGGCGCGGGCGATTATCCTGGCGGCCGCGAAGTCAAACTCGTGACCCCTTCCGAAGGTGTGGGCAGCCCCGTGTGATAATTCGCCCACGCGCCGTGCGGCCAGTTTATGTTCGTGTAGGCGCGACCCGGGGATGCGTTCAGTCCGACCTGTGTAATATGGAGGACAGGGCGCACGGGATACGATATACCACGCCCGACTCTTCTCTCCGATTTAATCCGTCTTTGATTTTAATGACCCCGCTGCACATTGTAGGGTTGGTTGGGGGAGAAACTCCAACACGTAGTCCAGCAGCAATGCGCCCGGTCGCTCCCCAAAATGCCCTTTATGTATGGCAAATGCATGCCATGTCATTACTGATTTGCAACGGGGTCCTCCGGGGGTGAGCGTGCAGGCATCGGCTTAGAAACGCCTTTGAATGTCCGTTTCGCAGAATTGGTCGTGGAGGTTTTTAATTCTTAGTCTTTCGCTTTCCGCCGGGGTTCTTGAATGCAACCCCTGCAATCAAGGAGGGATCGCTGTACGCCATTTCGCTAAATTATAGGCGGGACTGCCTTTTGGGGCACCGATTGGCTACAGTGGAAGGTTTGGTTTGGGAATCTTTTGCAGACCATAGAATTGGGCCCGAGCAGCGTCTCCTGGTTTCATTTGTCGCCATTCTTTATTCGTGATGCAATTTTTTACTTGAATTCCCAAATTAATTTATTTAACTGATCGGCTACTGCTTTGGTTTCTAAGGTCTGTGTTGGTCTGAAAAATTATCTGTGAAGAATTGATTGGGGCCTGTGCCTCGGATAAGAAATAAGTCCATCGAAGTATAGATTTTTTGCCGGCATACAGGGCCCTGCTCAGCCACCTACATGCCTGCGTCGCTGTTGACTGGCAAACCCCTCTATAACTGTCGCTCATTCTGTTGCTGTTTGTATCACGCGCGAGTTCGAATGCTCAGACGAATATGCAAATGGTTGTGCTGCTTGTACGGTCTTGTTATTCCTGGATCTCGAACATCGACCTCCGTCTGTGGTTAGGTTGTTTGACAATATGAATCAAGCATCTGTCTATGGAAATGTGGCATCATTTTTTGTGTTTGGCAAGTTTCAGATCGATTAATTACTGGATAAGTATCATGGCGAATGGCTTAAGAGCTCAAAGAACATTGACTGAATGTGGAGCTTTATGAGCGCTCGGATGGAGTGACTTAATTAGGGTTAATTCCAACGTCGGCGGCAGAAAATGCAGCAGTGCTTTTTTCCTAGTGGAGATTTTGTTCCCTCTTCGATGAGAAAATGTTCCAAAACCTCACTCGTTTGCATCACCGATATAAAAGCGTTCATTAATTGTATTGTGCTCAGTACGTCGGCGCAGATTTCAGCCCACGTATATGGTTAAGCATAAATTCGGTTAACCGATTCTATTTTAGAATTCTTCTCAAGTGCTCTGTTCGCATGTTCGCCGACCATGTTTTGCTCATGTATACGTATTATTTCAAGTTGCTGTCTTTGTGCGGGACACATTCTTAACTAGCGATAATCAATACCTGCAAATGGAGAGACTGGCTTTGTAGCCCCTGTATGCAGTTTACTTTCCGATGGTGGGACGAATCAGACACCTCAATCACCCTTCGCATAAATAACTTCGACCAGTATAATATGCTTCTATCAATCATTAAATTATCACTGCTAGAAAAGCATTCTTTTGAAAGCACTTGCTGAATAGTACTTACTTATCGTTTGTGTAGAGGTGGGCGACTGGAATCACCACGAAATAGGTTATTAGCGTTATAGATGTTAATAGGAGAACTGAAATAAATAAGATAGAGTAAACGTTAGTCGTGGAACCTGCACATACAGTGTTTGTTCAAAACTGCAGCCACTTACAGAAAATAACCTAGCGATTGAGCTAGTGTGTATTCGAACAGACTGTAAAAATATGAAGGACAACCAAAATAGGCGTCAACCCGCCAACCCCCTAAAGAAGCACCAAGTTTATCAGTTACTAAATTATAGCGTGAGCACCTGGTTGTGCGAATGAGATTGCCTCGCCTGCCATTAAAGTGGATCAGAACATGGATTGCTCGCAAGGCCGGCGGGGTGAGTCGGTGAGCAGAACATGGGCGTAGGAAGTTTCATTTTACGCACATTTTGTTTGTGTGCCAGTCCCCTAAGCTTTGTTAAAACTTCAACAAACATTTGTTACATACACCTGGGGACGGAAATAGGGACCCCGCAGTGCAGCTGGCCTCGCCTTAAATTTCAAAAGGCGTAAGATTTAGAGTTAGAGTTAGGGTCAGGATAATCACGATTAATGTTAAGGTTAGGATCAAGAGGGTCGTGGTTAGCTGAAGCGTTTGTATGAGGGTTAAGCTTGAAGTTAGGACGCGGGAATAGAAACCTCCTCGAATCTGGCGTGAGACCATCCATAACATTTGGGGATCCATATTTGCATGTCCGCCCTTTGATTGTTGCACAATGGACTGAATCAAATTAGAATATTGTGCAGTAGTCTGCGGGAGTCCTAGTTTCTCCTACGAAGTCTACTAATCACATTGCTCTGCTCCACCTGATGCCTTTGCCTGATAATCCCATCTGGTCATTAGATTCAGAGGAGAGACATTCGTGTTACAGCCGGACTAGAACTGCATGTCAGTCACTTACGCTATAGAAGTTGTGATTCTCGGGCATAAGGATTGAATGCTCGACCGCATAATTGGTGACGAACCTTTAGGAGCACGCGACGTGAAATGCGGCGCTGGAAGACGTGGAAACCCGAAAGGAGCTTAGTGTGCCGATGACGAACTCCTTAAAATCATTCACTCATTACTCCAGAGTGGCAAAAAACGCAATGTCCCTGTAAAGAGCCATCAAACAGGTATTTAAGGATTTTGATGAAGACCTCTTCTCCAAGATCTCGGGGAGATTCGTGAGGCCCCGTTTCGAATACGACATAAAAGCCTAGAGGCCGTGAATGGTCGAGAATGGTTAGGGATCAAGGCATCTTTCCCTTTGCAACCGGCCTAACGAATCAAAAATTCTTCCCTCCTAGTTATGGTAAAATGCGCGGGGGTCTCTTAAAAGCATTCACTCTGTGAAAGGATTTGACTTAAATTAGGTCCTTAGGGACATTTTTGGACTTGCTACCACGACCAACCTCCGAGGTTACCAATTAAAACTGCGCATTCAGCATTCAAGGTTCGATGTGCGAAAATTCCTCTTCTCTGTTAGAATGGTCATGCCATAGAATGTCCTGCCCGAAGACGTTATAGTGTCGCCATAGGTGGAAAACTTTGAAAGGAACCTTTAGAATTTTATATTCTGAAATCAACCAGAACTATGACTGACTGAACTCCGCCCTTGAGACTCACACCCAAATTGTCATACTTTCATGNATTTAAAACAAGGAAACGCTATTGGTGATCAGTAAAGAAAGTGCAAAGAAAGGCCTCTGCTAGGCAAGCAGTACAGTGCCATGGCAACTTTGATGAAACGCCAACCTATCCTTGTAGTTGAATATAGTCACATTACTTCACATGTAAATACTTCAACAAACTTATTACTTTTAGCGGTAGCGTTTGTTGTACGGGGACAGATAATTGCATCATGAGATGGATTAATATCTCGTGCTTTTGGTCCGAAAAGGGGTTTGGTCCATCTAGATTAACAGTGAAGGGGGAGTTGGAGTTACTAGTTTGTCAGCCCAAAAGTCAAAATTTATAAGGATCGCTGTAAACAAACTTTAAAGCGCCACCCAAAGACTAAGCGTTGTATGACTATTAGCATTATAAACAACTGATCTGAGTTAGGAGAACCTTAAAAGGCGTTGTATACGCGTGCGGTTTGCAGAATCATCAAGTTTTGTTATTTCCGTCTATGCTTTTTCGAGGACATTATGTTTTCGCCTTCTTTTACATGGCTGCATGATGTGGAGTACCAGTCATCGAAGACAAGATAATACAAGATCGTACAAGATAATATAGAACATGCCAATCGCATATAAGTGAGACGAAAGTGGAGATTTTTTAAAAAGCTGGATATATCGATGCATGTTTGTATTTATTTTTCATGTTATGCAGCAACAGGAGATTGACAGAGTGTCGGAAACTTGTTTTCTGTTAATCATTTCAAACTTTAACAAAGTTTAGCTTTGAATAAAGCATCTTCTGAATTTTCCAAACTTCAGAGTGGCACTATCTGCATACTTAAAAATCTTTTGAAATACTGCCCTTCAAAAGAAACGTTCCAACTAAGGAAAGTCAGGTTTCAAATAAAAAGGGAATCATTTAAACAACTTTACTGACCGACCGACATTTATACCATCGCGTTTTCCGTCCATTGTCAAAGTGCGACCTGCACAAACTCGAAGTTAATTGATAGGGCTCCTCCTATTGGTGCGGCTGTGGATTCTGTTTTTGTCTGTCTCCGGTACTTTGGTATGGCATCGGTGTTTGTCAATGAACAATTCGCCCGAGGACCGGCCTTGTCGGGCATCTCCGACCAAATGCAACGACAACCTCACCTCTTGCCTCCAGGAACGCCCCATCATCACCCCTGCCTCAACCCCCACGACAGTAACCACTCCCGCCACCGGTGACCACACTCCTGATACCCCACCACCACCGCGCCGTCGACCACCATCACCATAAGCTCCGCCATAACCCCAACGGCGACGGTGACGTCGACTACCAATCCTCCCACTCCCACCACCGGCGAGATCACTCGCGACGTCGCACAAGTCACCAGCCTCACCATAAGCTCACTCAGAACTGGCAATGTAGATTCGGTATTAACCTGTCCTCATTTCGATCGTACCTTTACATCACGCATAGGCCTGGTCGGTCACTTGCGAATCCATTGTGCAGAGGCCGGCGAACCAGTGTCATGAGTCCTCACATGCACTCCTCGCATCCACCTGTACTGTCCCATTGAGCACGCACACTCAGTCACCGCATGGGCCTATCCGACCACATGCACATCCACAACAGCGAAATTCACCGCAACGACGACACGCCAAGCCAATCTTGCACATTGGACAATTCTCCCATCATCCGCACTACCAAGTCCCCATCCACAGCGCGTCCACAACTGCGATATCACGACTGTATCCGACTAAGTAGCTCCCAACCAATCTTCTCCACCCTGTCATTGAGCATGCATTTCACACAGCGGCCTGGTCGGTCACCGGCGTATCCATCGCACTGAGACTGACGAACCAGTGCCAGGAGCACGAACACACACACACATACACGTCGCCATCGCCCAAGTTTCCGCACAGCCCACGTATATTCAGTCGTCGCATGGGCCTACTCGGTCACATGCGCCTTCGCAGCTTAAATCCCATCACCGCACATCGCAACTAACACATGCACCACACACTGACTCATTCCATATTACCCACCACCGACGTAGTTTGGGCCCCTTTCACGTATGTGAAAAGCGCCGTCATCGACTCCCTCCCCATGTGACCTCTATGGCACTATAACGTACGTGAGATCCGAGCCGCCCATCGTTTTGTATGAAGACCCTGCGTGCTGCGTGGAGGGCCAAGTCGTGTGTGTGTGGCACGCGGTTTGAAAGGTTGCCAACTGGCGATACAACTCAGACCTCGCAGTCGGCCCTGTGTGCGTTTGTGTGGAGTGGCCGACTGGGAGTCAGGCTGCAATTGCTCCTCTCCAGCGATGCCTTAAGGGCGCTTTCACACGCATGAGATGCGAGCCGCCTACCACTTTATTTGAAATCCTGGTGTGTTAAGTGAGGACTAGGTCGCGTGAGTGGCCGCGCAGACGGGCTGTTTAGGTCTACCAGCCACTGCGTCAAGGCTTGTCTCCGGTCCTTTTGACTGTATCTTGGCATTGGGTCCTGGAAGGCGATGGTAGAGGGTGCAGTAGATGTAAAGCGAGCCTACAAGCTAATTCACGCGCAAATCACCGTCCTCGGTTGTTGTGGACATCGTCGGCAACGACGGTCGAATTGTACGTGTGGCGCCGATATCGGTGACTTGCCCGGACAGCGGAGTCAGCAGGTGGAAGTAGGGGACAGTTGAGTCCCTGTGATAACTGGCCCATTGGTGGCTTAGTTAAGTACACTGCAGTCGTCTTAACTTTGTCCCCGTGGAAATAGTAACATAAAGTGTGATAAGCTTAGGCAAGATTTGTGTGTCTGTCGATTGATCTGACGCCAGGGAACCTGGTCTCGTTTTTAAGCGTTCGAAATTTGAAGTTTCCCCGTCTATACTAGTGGTGCAAGGTATGCGCTGTGAGTTAGTCTTGCACTTGTGTCCCAGATGCACTTGAAGTCAACCTCATCATAGCAGAATTTAAAGACAACAGCCGAATTTGTAGCCATAAACAGCGGGTACACTGACACACGCCACGCTTCTACAAAGCAAGCTTGCTACGAGCGAGTTTGAACAGTTGGGAGGTATCTTCAAGGAATCTCTTGATGTAAAGACTACCCTCACAATGTTTGGTTGTCGCTCCTTTGGCTACCGCCTATTCATACAAGACCTGTCCCTGTTGAGAACTTTTTCTCCATATCCGTTCACGCTGATGGACTCATAGATTTATGCCTCTTCCACTTACTTTTATCTAAAATGACACAATCCGGCTTAATTTGTGAAAAAGAAGGTCTTTTGAGAATAGCTGGACATTGAACGTGTTTTTCAAGGTTTTGTGGATTCCAAATACCCGGAATTTTAAACTGGCGACATAAGTGACTTTTAATTAGGCTGGCAAAAGTTGGGTAAGCGCAGTAGTGTTTATTTCGAAAAAACATGAAATTCAGCCGGATTATGTCCTCGAAAAGTGCTACCCAAAAAGACGAGACTTTCCGGATTGTGTCATATAGATGGGCAAGATTGCAAAGTATATATCCTATTTAAACTGGTAGATAAATTTGATGTATAACGCAGTGCAGAAGGTTTCCAAAGAGTATGGCAGTGAAACCAACATTAATACATGTATTTTTTAGAGCATATTCACAGGAATTCACTCTGCTTTGGTTCTATACCAAGAATAAAAGTTATTGAAATTAACATAAGAAGACTTTGATTTACCATTTTTGTGGAATATCAAGCATTAGGCAAATGTATAATGCATAGGAAATTGTGGTTTGTCTTTGGCGATTTTTGCAGAAGACCGAAAAACATGTCTCAAGCATGTGTGGTAATTACTGCTTTCCTTTTCTTTCCGGTAGATTTTTTAACTAGTCCACAGGTCCGTTTTTGTCTGGCTGCCTTTAAGATCCCAACTTCGAGTTAATTCGGAGAAATTTAACAAAATATTATCCAGCCCATTAAAAAATAAGGTGCCTCTGTTCTTTGTAACTCTGGGTTTTTATATGCGACAAGGTTTTTCTGCTGCATCTACACCAAATTCGTATTTCATACTGTTAATTTTAAGCTGTGAACTGATCAATTTCTGACGCCGTCTTAGGGCGTACGTTCGCGACTTTGGCAGATATCAAATGTTTGGGTTATTGTGGAACTGTGCTTTACAACTATTGAGGATCTGGCCATTAGAATCAACCTAATCAAGAGTTTATGAGGTATTTTTCGAATAACTGGACATCGAACAAGCGTAAAATCATTGACTTCCTGTGCAGTATAGTCGCTAATTCCGCTGTTTAATTGACACAATGTATTCACATCTATGCAAAACTAAATTTTAAAGTGACATATTGAAAAACAAAAATTTCAAAAAAGTTGTATTTACCCTTCCAGGTTTGGGAATTTTTGTCCAGCCCAAAGGCGTATACTGCTTGAAATACCAGTTGGATTCCAAAGGAAACTGCGAGCGACACTGCGGAAGCCCTGCAGGAGAAGACGGTTTTTGGAAAATTTTCATTCTGAAATATTACTTTATGGCAGCTAACCGAACGCATGTGGAAATGCAATAGGTCCCAGAAATTGCTTTTTGGTATAGCATATGGGAAGGTTCCAAGAAGACAAACAATTTTTCCCAAAATAAGGGAAATTTGGTCAGGTAATTGAAATTTTGTGTTTGTTACAAATGTATGCGAAATAAGCGTTTGTTCTGGAAACATCAAGGAGAACTGATGCCCTTCACGGAGGCATAGAAGTTATGCTGGTCAATAATTATCCGAGCTAGTTAACTTCTGTTTTAGGGGGTTCGACGCTTCCAACCTTTACAAATATGTAATTTACTTCTTCTGTCTGATATTCGCAATGCTAGGAACGTTGTACTATGCACTGATACTGAATGCCAGCGCGTGCCCGCTACGTAATTCCTCCGAAGAAATGACCAAATGAGATTGCTAACTTACCATTACCTAAAGAGTTGTATCCAGTTACATTTTGGGTCAAACAATCATTACAATGGTAAAATTAAATTACTGTTTGGATTTTCTAGTCACATGCTCCAAATAACCTAGAATCAACAATGTATAACAGTGGGAATGATTTATACTTTTTTGCACCTGACATCGACCGCAGTCGTTAATTTTAAAGAGTCCAGGGTATACTTTAAAAGGGGTAGGAGAGACCAGAAGAGAATATGAGATTGAAGAGTGTGTGACTTGCTTGAGGCCTAACTGCATTCGAATGACGAGGAGGTAATTCAGGCCTAGGTTGACTGCATTTGCGAGCAAAGCGGCAGTGAGTGGAACAAAAGCCTTGTCCTAAACGGAGTTTTGTTAAGCGAACCTCCAAATTACTGGCATACCTGGGCCTGTAGATAGCGCGATAGGATGTAGGAATTGAAACAGAACTGGATAAAGAAAAATGAAAGGAAATGGGGGTTCAAATTGTCTCGTCTAAACCACCGTCTGCTTGCACAGAGCGTGCTACAGAATGGGGATAACATAATTTGGGAGTTATGTAAACGCATAATGATAATTAAGGTGACTTACAAAAAGGCCAGGGTAAAACCAGGCGACATACTCGGCTGCCGCTCTGAAAGGATAATAAAGAAGAGGCATTAGCTTTCCTAAGAGTAGATCATTCAAAAAATAAGCAGACCAGCACGTTTAGCCTAGAAGGGAGTTTTGACTCCTTTCAGTTGGCTCCTTTCTACAGTGCTTCCTCCCCTGTAAAATACGGTCCTCATGGGTCCTACTTTCTCGCTCCAAGCGCTACTTCCTGCAGTTTCTAGCAAAAACAATAAAATGAGCAAACAACATGAATAAAGAACACAGAGTGCTCGGTCGACAGATCTGTTACTAGGAGCAGAAACCTTCATTTATGTCACTTGAATTCCTTTGATCTCCTTTCAGGTAGGGACTGATAAATTTATCGGTCTCCTCTCAGGATCATAAAGAGGGTCTTCAACAAACGAACAAGATTTAACAATCAGCATAATCTTTCTAGGTTGCTCACTGATTCCACAACTATGAACGGCGATGTGGAGGCCAGAAGAGAACTTTGACGTGGAGTAATAATTCTACTTTGATCGTACAGAGGTGGACATGAGTGCGATTCACCCCATTTTTTATTGATTTGTCCATTATTTAATCGTGAAAATCATTAAATCCTGACTCACGCAGCTTAAGCGCTGTCTTTCACGCTTGTTGTTTAAACTGCAAGCTTTAATAAAGACAGCATGAATATACCTACTTAAAGAGGAAATTTTTCAAAAAAACATAAAATTCGTTTTATATAAGTTAGCAACGAAACCGATTTGTCCCTTCCGTCACATATATGCGCCAAAAACCTAAAGGGACTAGAGGTAACTTACTTTGCAACATCCGGTTCTGTACCAATCAACAGAAGCAACGGTTCCAGATTTAGGAAGTACGCAGAACACAGCAGGGGTACTAGACTGATAATCATCACACCTGAACGGTAGATATAAAGGCATAAGAATCAAATATACAAATGCAGCAGTGTGTATGTTTTCAACGTCACTGTATTCATAACCAGTAGCACTAACAGTACAGATGAGTTATCTGAAATCCGCGGGCCTTGATGCGTCAATCGACACTAATTTCCCAGCTCGTGACGATTATCTGCAACTACCTTTTATTTTATCTTACACGATGGCGCGCCAACCTTTCATAAGACTGTTGTGTAAATAACATATGCCAGCTATTTTCTTAGTACATTACCACGATATTTCAGTTTCCTATATTCATACGGTGGGCACTTGCACCCCCCTGATTATTTGGTAGAACTTGTTTCCATCTAGATTTTTCTTTCAAGGCACTGCGTTGTGCACAATTTTAAATCTTCAAACGTACGTGCACGTCCTTTCCCGGAGATGACTTTGGCAAACCGCGTCAACGACTTGAACTATTTACAATAACTGGAAACACGTAAGATTGGAGTGAGCTTTATGACATAAGAACCCGACCAGACTAGGCGGCCGGTCGCCAACAAGCCGAAGGCTGACTCCGCCCCACGAGAAATCGTAACGGTGGGGGTTCGCTTTCGCGTCGACACACGTGTTTTCTAACTGTGATTTGTCATTTCTCATAGGCAGTTTTAACTATAAGAATGTTCCTCTACCGCCGACCTTGGTAAAAGGGTAAGGTTCAAATCAGATTAACTATGTACCGCGTTCTGAACGACTGCTAACACCGATTAAAGCAAAATCCTATTTCTGGCAATTTGGCGCAAACAAACCATTAGCAGCAATGCTTCACGGAGGGCCGAGGTCTCGCACACCAACTTTTACAAATAAATTCGAGACATTGCAGGAAGACGGCCTCCCCTTAATATTAGTTCTCAAATATAAAAGCGATTGAGCCAGTTGCTGTGAGGTTTCTCCTATCGAAACAAAAAACTGAAATTCTCTTTAAATTGGCATAACGTCGCGCCCCAGAACGGGGTTCCCCAAAGCCCGGGGACATTCATTGGTGTGCGTCTACTGCCTACCTGGCGTTTAAGCGGTTCGGCCAACTGACCGATGTTCAGGTCTGGAACACTAATCGGATTAGTGCACGTTATTCATAATCTGCCTCCTCTCCGCGCTTTCCATTGTTTTCATTGGCCTGGGCGTGTGCCGACCGTGAGATCACGGCTACTTGGATCGATACGTGGTAGGCGTGGCTCAACTGTAAGTGCGTGGGCGTTATCCCGTCTGCCCGCTTTTGGCCTTATCGATGATTGGGACATTTGGCCCTTCTCTTGTAAAGCCCGCCTCTTTTTTTCTGGCACAAGACTTGACGGAGAATGGAACGGCCGGGGTATCAGTTGACACTGTTTACTGCTTGAGCCGAAGGTTCCAACTTGTGGTTAATGTGAGCCGGGTTAATAGCGCATAAACCGGACTATTCCTCTGGGATCCGACTATTGGAGTTGGATGCCGGAACGTACAAAGTTACTATGGTAGAGGGGTGCCCAGCCATTGCGTTACGAAACTCATTCGCCCCATTGTGTCTTTGGACTCTCTCGAGATCCACTAGCAGTCGCATAGCGACGCGTAATATAGGCAGAATGACAGTGGAGACTGGAATGGCCATTTCTGTTTTTTTTAACTGTTGTCAGCCAGCTATGTCAAGCCCCGAGGTGTGCAACACCTGGGGCTCGATCCCGCGACCTGTTGGTTAGAAGTCCAATACCCCCAACATCTGAGGCGCGGGTTCGTTGTCCTATTAGTTGCGATCGGGTATGCCTGTTTCCGCGCAGTACGCGTTCGAAACTGTCCCGAGCGTCTGGGTAATCAGTATTTAGCAGTGGCTCCTCAATACTTCAGAACGGATATATTCCAGTCGGTCCAGTGATCAGCAGTTCTACACACGGCAGCAGATAGGTGCGGGGATATGAAACATGCAATGGTAGCATTCACACAACGCTGCTGTTGGCTTACACCAGTAACCGAAGTGTTCCACTGGTTTTCAAATGCCCTGGGCTAAAAAATTTAATCTTGTAGGCGTACGATTGTCCATCTCACCAGACCTCAATCAAGATTGAATTTCAGGCGGGGCGTGCTTTGTCCTGCTTCAAAACGTCGAAAATGTACACATGCTTTCGTTCGCGAATGAAACTTGCAAAATGTTTGCAAAATGTTAATCAAGCTTCATCAGGAAGCGCTACTTAATGGCTGGGTGATTGTTTGACTTACTCTTTTGCAGAAGCATGCCTATCCGGTGTCGACTTGGGCTGCCATAGAGCTGGGAGAAGAGTGTGTCGCAAGCTGTTACTAGGCCCAGTCCAAGTACATGCCCAAGAGCATAAATTACCTGCAGAGAGTAAAGGGCTCTTGAATGTGCAATACGTTTGATAAGATGGTCAGATGTGGCTATGTAGCCCCACCTGAAGTAAACAAACCCCAGCCACCTGTAATACGGGCCCGGTGGTGCTAGGGGTTTTTACAGGTGGGGACGGGGAACGCACAGGCGACGAGGTCAAGTAGTTGTATGCTAAATAAAAGCTATTGGAAATGCGCGGTTGTACTTTGAGTGGTTGAGAAATAGTTGCCCTGACCCTAACCTCTAATCCTAGCCCCTAACTCTAGCCCCTAACCCCAACATACATACATACATACACATACATAACCGCATCCTTCCGAAAAAATTCCGCTTACTCTAACTAACTGTACAGACTTTTTCTTCTATTCATAAACTCGCCCAAAAAAATCTCGGCAATGTTCGTAGTGAGAATGTTAGCTGTACTTGTACTACACACATCCCCGTAGGTTGCAAACGGTAAGACGCTAACAGATTAGGCATTTAAAGGACCGTTAGTAGATCACTCAAAATTCAGCCGTCTTTTGCAGATTGAACGCAATGGCTGCAAAATCAGTAATGACGGCCAAAGTAGTGAGAAAATCCCAACAAGGATGAATGAATGAGGTTTTTGATGGTTGAACGGACAAACTGGCACCGGTGGGCGCTTAGTCATCTTTTTCGTACCAACTACTGGAAGCGTGGGATTAAATAGATGATTTACGGACAGGCATATCGTTTGTCAGGCTCTGCTAGGACAAATCTATAGCGCGACTGAAAGTTGCTTGTGGTGGAGGCCTTTGAGTTTCAAGTCACCTGCGCGTTTTCATTCATATTTGATGAGCGGATGGCGTGGGAATCCGGAACACCAGATAAATACAAATTTGAACCTAAGAGTCTCACCCTCTTCGTATAGAAAAATACCGCGGCCTCAATTTTTCATCTTTCAAGATATACAGAAATTTCCCGGACGTAGACTGACAGATGAAGAAATAGTAGTAAATGTTGGCTTAGAGGCAGTTGTGGTTCATCGACCAGATAGTTTGAATCAACCACCAGTCCACTGTGAGCGCGCTTGGTAATCAAATTTTGTTGATCGAACCGTCCCTGTACTCATCTTGACAATAGGCAGCTCTCAGTAGACTCTTTAAGAATAAATAACTTGATTTTTTTAGTATTGATGCCTTAAGACATTTTTATACGGTCGCAGGTCTGGACAGAGGCTACCTTCCAAGTACACGGTGTGTAAAAGCAACATGAATACACTGCATCTGGTTTAATGAATGAAAGATGTAAACAACAACGTGCTACTAACAAGAGGATTACTTACGCTGTTTGCAAGCCCAACAGCTGCAAGAGCTTCCTTCCCAAGAGAACCGCAAATCATATTGGACTCAAAGAAAAGGCAATTTTGCCCAAGAGACGTGAGAAACTAAGTATTGTCTTTAGAATTTTTAAAAGCGCTGCCTACAACTGCCGTCGCGAGTTGGTACAGGGCCTTGAGTTCCGATAAGATGGGCAGAGAAAATATTGATCTAGAGACATTTCTTCGTAACCTCTCCCACGGCGTCTGTGGTGTTTCGAACGTCAAACGGGAGGGGTCTGTTAACAGGAAAAAGTGCTCAGCTGAAAAAAGTAGAACTAATTAATTACACACCCAATTTCTATGCCGACCATTTTCAACACGTTGATAAATGTAGATGTCTTAGTTAAAAAGCACTTAAAGACCGTCTGGCCTAAACCTCTAGAAGTCATAGACATCCACAAATTACCCCCTTGATGCTATATTTTTCCTTTTAAATGCAGTTTCACAAGGAATGTGAGCGTTTATTACGTCAGGCTTAGTTATGAGACGTTCCGCGTAATGGTCTACACACATCCTCTTTAAATACGGTTCCGCAATTTTGTACAAATCGTTCCTGAAATTGGCGTATTCGTAAGCATTCTCTTATTTTTCCACAATCTGGCGAAAACAAAACGCGTATGATCAAGAATACTAGGGATTACTATGATTTTTACGAGTTATTCATAGTTGTACCTTCACCAAGACAAAATATCTGCCCAAAGGTGTGCTACGGTGAAAAAGGCAATAAAATTGTGCGACTGTATTTGCTTCGTAAGTGAAATAAGTCAAGTGCAATTTCGTCTGTGGATACGACATTCAGCATGCTAAAGTCTTCAAATGTAAGCACACAGTGCGGAGCAGTGAAGCATATGCATTTGCGGAAATCTTATTAAGTATTACCTTCAGCACTGTCTTCTTCCTCGGGGCTTGAAGTTATTTCACCACCGGTTTCGTCAAATGAAGTCTCGCTGTTTTCTCGTCCGCTGGTGCTCGCATCTGGCGAATTGTATGAGGTCATTCCTACAAACGTTCGCTTGTCGGATGTTTGTTTGAATGACGGGTCATTCAGCTGATGCAGCTAGCGCTCATCACGTGAGTTGTGGTGCACTCGTCACTGAGCCATTGATCAACGACGCTTATTAACCACTTGGACAGAAGTCAAGTCCATTGATTTTAATTGAATGGAACAAAGATTGAAGTTGCCAAATCAGTTTTATTTCCGATAGAGGAAACATTGCTTACAAGAATGAATTCCAGTTTTTACAAAATTTGGTCCTGCCAACAGAACTATTAGGTCATTCTGTGACAAAAGTAGTGGGACTAACAAAATACTGCAGGAGAAACTTTCATTTTTTCCTCGATATTTTCTCCCTCCATCAGTAGTTCTGGTTGCTAGGGCACAAAAACCCTAATCTGACAATAAATACACGCCTTTTCAGCTACTTTCATCCGTGACAATGGATTTCTGTATGAGTTCTTATGCCCCGAACAATATTTTTCCCGATCATTCTCTGTCTTGCTTTTCTGACACTACCTGCGGCCCAAAACTTCGTTACCAGGTGTTTATTTTTATCGCAGTTTATGCGACACGGCTGATCCATAGGTCTGTCATTGGTGGGGGACGCTCACCGATCGTTCTTTCGGAACTCACTCGTTCCGTTGTGCTTTATGGGCTCGCTCTCGAGCCCAACCAGCAGTCGCAAAGCGGCGCATGCTATAGCAGAATGTTGTTACCGACAAAGGCAAGGGAGCCTGGAATGGCCATTTCTGGCTCATTAGCCGTCGCCAGCCAGTCATACCCAACCCCAAAGTATGGAACACCCGAGGCTCGAACTCGCGACCTGCTAGTTAGGGGTCCACGCCTCTAACCACACTTCGGGGTTGGGAATGACTGACTGACGCCGGCTAATAAGCCAGAAATGGCCATTCCAGTCTCCCTTGCCTTTGTCGGTAATAACTTTCTGCCTAGGTCTGTCATTGTCGTCTGTCATTTAAGTTTCGCTGGAATTTATTCGTTTGCGAGTTACGTTTTTTTCCTTGGATGTGCTATCCCGACCAAAATTTTAGACCACTGAAAATTCAATAAAGTAAACTATGTCGCCTTGATAACAGATCATGTAAAATTTTACGCCTGTCCGGCATCATTAGCAAACAGAATAAGTATGTGTACAGGATTCGAACGGAAGCAAATAGACGCCCAGAAGGAATATTAAACGCTTTATGATATAAGGTTAATTAAACAATTTTGAAAAGAAGGCGTCTGGATTCAACTTCAAATTTCTCTTCCTAATTGAGTTCGCGAATAAAATCCATTTCCACAGGATTATGAATAATCCAGCAATTAGTAGTGTGCTTGGTATCACGCTCTATGAGTTAGCATTTTTGTTATTTTACGATGAGGAGAGTGCTGAACTAACAAGAAGGTCGGCTTGAACTTTTTAAATTACGTAGTTTCTGAGTATTTAAAAATTTAAATCTCCTCCTTTCCCAAAAAGTCCTCTAACATGCTTTAAACCACCGCGTATATCATCAAAAGGAAAATTACTGAAATAAATAATCCTTTTGGACAACTTTGAACGATAATCCCATTGTTCCGGAAATACCTTCCAGGCACTCTGCGCCACGTCCTCAGCGATTCTCGGATTTTCTCCGGATTAGGACAAGAACTTCAAGGCCATCAATAATTTATTGTTATTTCGCAAGGTTGTCGCATAATATAGAAAAAACGGAAGGATTAGAAGGACGAATATTAATTTCCTTGGCAAGATACAAACCTTCGGTTAGAACACTGACAATTCTTTGGGCACTTTTAAGCCTTTCAGACCTATGGTAAATGAAATCGAGGTGAGAGTTTGAAAACTATTTACTTAATTTATACTAAGCCCAATTATGGTGATATTTTGCGGCTTATTGGAATTGCAATGTCCAAATAAACGTTCTCATATTGTAGCCGCCAAGAGAAAATGTCCACATATGGGTAAAAGATAACAGGAGAATCTGAGATGAACATTTCTGGCTTAATTGCATCAGTAGTCAAACATGACCCAATCGCAAGTCGCTTCGATCCCAGGTTCGAACACTGAGCATTTAAACAAATATCCCACCACTTCGCCACGACCACTAGTTCCTCCGACTTGGGATTCAGTAGGCTAAGGATGACACCAGAATCAGGAACGATCGCCGCAGTTGCCGCTGCACTAATCGGCCGGTCTGCCGATTACTTATTTGGTTCCTGCTTTTGGTCGAATAAGTGAAATTGCGGACTAGACTTCCTAGTAAAATAAGGGCATGAATGAGCTTTTTAAGCTGCGTTGGAAGAGACTGGGCCCCCTTTGTTGCAGGAATGAAGATTACATGAGGCAAAAATTTAAACGCTACTTACTTATTATAGTAGTTCTTTTAAGCATACAGATTCCGAATCTGTCGGTCTCGTACGCTGCATGCAGCAACAGCCGTGGAATTCTGAGCGGCAAATATCTCTTAAGCAAATATCTACCGGACGCGGAAATCTTTCCCTTATACTGACACTATCTGTATCAGTCTAGGTCTTTAACATATACTAAGCCATTCTGTAATGTCCTATTTACCCGGAGGTAACCTACGTTGACTTAGCCTGTGTTGCCTTTTATAAAAAGCAACGTTTTCTCTAGTGGCTTATGAAACAAATAAATTGACAGCCTTACACTGCTGACCAGTTACACTGCCTTCTTCATGACCTTCAAATGAATAGGCTGTACAAATTAACAGGAGAAAAAACATAATGCATAGTCTTTAGTTAGAACTCAAATGGGAAACGCTTCCAATTTCAGCGTCAGTGATCCGTTTCCTTAAGAGTCCACGCATCAAGAAGATATTCTCTTGAACAGGAAATAAAAGTGTAAGTTTGCTTTGTGCATGCACAAGTGAGGTTAACGAACTGCTTAAGGGAACTTCCAAAGTACGCACAAAACAAACCTCTCTATTTTCAGACTGAAAAAATGAAGGGGTAGATCAAAGTTAATGCAACTTTTAGGCACCAAACGAATTTTCTGCGGCCCTGAAGAAGCTGATTATACTTCTGACAGTGTATTTTGTTCGAAAAATGTTATTTGGTCTTACCTCCTTTTCTGAAAGCCTTGTGTGGTTAAAAACAACTAGCTAATTTGAATTTGAGAACAGGTTTCCACACGCGATGACCGACCTCAGAAGTGCGTGTCCTGTCGGCTCATGTCACCGGGGCGGAAAATGCAACTCTAATATATCACCCTCTGCATATGTGCCTTGCACACGTGTGTAGGATCACAGTGGATGGTTTTAGCATTGAACGACCACAAAGACGACACTCTATCAGGTAATTTTACTTCGAGGTAAAATAAGTCGGTCACAAATCTTAGCTTAGCGCAGGAATACCGAAAATGATAGCCTTTATCACAGAAATTACATGAGCCGGCTAAGGCATTCCCAGCAAAATGGGACTGTCACAACACGGATTATTACGGAGTTTAAGAATGACCTTTATCACAACCGGACGCAACATTATGTTGCCAAACATAGAAAACCGACAATGTTTGGATAACGGGTGGGCTTTTCAACTTTTCAGTAGTTCTGATTTTGGCCTTATACTGGTCAAAGAGGAGCCGACTGACTATTCTACCAAAGGCACAGATGAAAACTGGCCCTCAAACACATTATGCCTTGTGCTATGTAATCCACAGATATTCGCAGCACAGGACGCGGGCAAAAAAACAGAACGCTTTAGGTTTGATTTTTGCAATGTTAAGACGAAGTCTACAGCGAAATTATGAAAGACATTCATGAAAGAATTTAGCTCTAGTCGATTTTCGACATAGTACCCACGTCGTTCTGCAAGACACTGTCTCTTAAGGTAAGGAATTTGACTGAGTACAAAGAACACTTGCGCAGCCGGTGAGTCTTACAAAGGTAAGACCATTCAGTTGCTCATACATTTTAGTAGATAATATGGCGACTATAGACATTTTTTCATATAAAACAGATCAGGTAAAATAATCAGAGGAGTTCTGTCTTCCACGTTAACCAGCCTTCGCAGCCAAATTCCAGCTAACCACCTTATGCTAAAGATTTACTTGCGTAAATAGAGAAAGCAGTGCACATCTTCAACGGAAATCTGGAAAGCAAGGAAGCCATACCGTTCGCTGACATTCTACGCACATTGCATTCTTCCACAGAGTCTAAAAGCAAAAATATACAATATAGGGGACTTAAAACAAATGCATTTCTTTTTGAAAAAGAATGATCGCTGCAGTCCTTTGGTAACGTATGTTCAATCGCCATCTCCTTTTTTTCCAACGAGACTTCATGTGGTCTACATACTTCAGTACATCGTTTACGTCAGCACTTCTACTGTGGATTTGTTTTTTAGAATTCGGGTTTTCACCGCCAGCCTAGTTGCAGTTTGTTTTCTCTCTGAGTGAGTGTCAGCAGGGCCTAATCGCTCTGTGCGTAGTTCCTCCGTCTTTATCGCTGCTTCCTTTTCCCACCAAGAGGCGTTTCGATTGAAAAATGTGGTTTTTGAAATAACCTGCACACAGTCAGATACATCTCACTGAAATAGTGCAATATTGGACCTTATTCCACAAGAACCTACTAAAGTTCACCACGTGCAGTTCAACATCACCTTAATAGGCTCTTTCCCCAGCAATGTGCCGCCACCTTTCCAAATGTTCCCAATGGATATTTTCAAGAAACAACAAATAAGAAGCTCCCGAAATTGTCATGCACGGGAGAAACCTTTGTAGCCTTTTGACTAAGCATACAAAAACAGTTATCACCGGAAATAGCTCAGCTCACCTGCCCCTTACCTCAATAGAATTTTAAAGCCAGGGGTTTTCTCCTTAGCTAGATCGTCGTTTCTTTACAGTTTCCGCTTTTAGACACTTTCCGAAGGTCAAAAGTGCAGCTGCTTGTAAAAGAATACTAAAAACACACTAAGGTGGAGCACAGTTCCCTATTCTATGAGCTTCGCGAGGATATGTAACTGTTCTGTTCACCACCAACAAA